GGCATGATACCTTGGCCAACCTGGCACAGCCTGGCAACCTGGCAACCTGGATGGCGCGGACGGTAAGTAGCCAAGGACTGATGCAAGACTTTCTGCTAAATACTAAGTAATAGTAGTACATCGCCATTCGATGCCGGAAGTTGTATATGCCGAAAGAGATAAGAATACTGGTCGCCGGGCATCCGGCACCCATGGCCAATGTATAGCATATCCACCTGAGAGATAATAGAGCCACCGGAACATGGGGTAGTCGGAAACAAGATGGCGACGACATGAAAGGCCAAGGAGGATGTTCATGGGCATTGGGCGCTGATTGGACATGGCAGTGAAATGATACCATCCACTACGGTGTTTGATTCTGTAGATTGAACTGCTCAGTATGGTGGTGGGCATGTGTGCCGCTGATACATGGTGATCATGGTGAGGAGACGCGCAGCCATAGGTCAGTAAGTATAGTTCTTGATTAGTGCTGTTCCCTCTCGACGGCCGCTGGACGATGATTGGGCCGTGGCTAGTCAGAAGCCTATCTCTTGAGTATCACGAAGTTTCATGCGATCTGGTGGACGTTCAACTAGTTCTGGGGCAATGCAGGAACATGGCTGACTCGCATCTGGCCTTCCTGGGCGCCCGCGTGTCTATACTACACTACAGTCCGTGACGAAGAAGAGAACGAAGAGGAGGACACACGAGATGTACAAACGTTGCTCTCTTCCACGCCATTCAGCGACCGGGGCTATATCTGTTTACGTTGAGAGCTCTTGGAGGCATTACGTATTCTTCCCAGCGGCATGGGAACAACGCCCCGTATTCTTAAACAATTGCTCCATCATTGCAGCTGCTCCCATGTCCTGTCGCGATAGACCAGTTGCCGCACGATAGCATCATGTTGCAGATCATTGTGGATTTTGCCTCAGACAGCAGACAGACAGACACACAGGTAGGCAGACAGTACATGGTATAGTGCAATAGCAGCAGTTGGAGGTTGAATTCCGTATGGCTCTTGGTGGCCTCCTCCTGCCTGCTTCAGCTTGCATTGCCCCACCTGCCCTACTAATCGGGCCAAGAATTGTAGGGAAGATTCACACGATGCTGCGAGTATTGTCGTTGTGTATCAGCAGCCGTTGCTGTAGTTTGCAGGATTGACATTTGGAGGGCCGAATGGGATTGGTAGGATGGTTGGAAAGTGGCGAAACGGGATGAATCATGCGCGCAATTGGATACGGCAGTGTGCTGCCCCAGACACTACCTACCACCCTTAACTTGATTGTGTAGCCTAGTGTCGTCGAGAGTGTGTGAAAGTGTGTGGGAGTGTATGCGTGCTTCTACGCTGTGTATGTGTGTAGATCATTGTCTATCGCGCTCTTCTCCTCTCCATCCCTCTCTCTTTCTCCATAAAACTGGCATAGACAGAGAGACATGGTGACTGGTCACCCCCATAATATCGACCTGTGTATTATTGCACGTATTCGTACGTACACCTGGTCGGCAGGCAGACAAATAGATAGCAGCAATATTCAAGTCATGTAACTCTGCACCGCACCAGTGCTGCAACTGCACTGCACTGCACCAGCTGCACTGCGGGCGCACCCTTCCTACCCCTCCCTCCTCCCCCCTCTCACCCTACATTACCTATCAATTCTTGGTCTCTCATCATTGAGCCATGGCAATCTCATTTCACTAAGAAAATTTCTTGTTGGATGTATTGAGATTATTGGGGTGGGTGCGCGCTATCTAATTCAACCCCATGCAGGAGTCGTCGAACCGCAAGCAGCCTTCGCCCTCCTGCCTCGTCCTTGTCTGTCCAGACTCTCCTCCCATCGTCCATCGCCCCTCGCCGCTGCCCACCCCCAGTAAACCTGCAGGAAATGTTCAGGGTTGTCGCTCCAATTGCGTGAATGTCGAGGTTGCAGCTGATGAGCCGCTAAGCTCTTCTCAATGAAGGCCGCATGACCCTAACCTCCCTCAACCTTAGCGTCGTGAAATCTTCCGCTCGCTTGCAACCTGAATCTTTCCAGGCCTCTACAGGCCCCCGGGGCCTCACTTCTCTGAGTGGGATACTACTATTTTACAGTAGCAGCCAGCAGAGCAAGTAGTACTATGTATGTAGAGGAGGGGGGGAAAACGAGTAGCAGCAGTAACATCAAGCAATGAAATTGTCGTCGGACTGCCCTTGACAAGGGCTTCAACATTGATGAATAGATTTGCCCAGCCCAGCCCAGCCCAGCCCAACAATGTTCACACCCCACGGCAGTCTATCATGTCCGTCGCCCCGTTAGAGAAGTGCTCGTCAATCGGGCTGAGCTCTTGCTGGTTGATTGCGACGACTTGCCCAGCTGTCTACTCACACAAACATACATTCATCCCATCTATCTCGCTCTATCCGTCCCGACTATCACAGCTGATCACGCATCTGTCTCAGAGTTTGCCGCCATGCCTCAACTTCTGCTCTTGACCCCTGGTAGTCTTCGACCTTGAAATGCACTTCGCTAGAGAGCAATGTCTCGTCTTGCATAAGCCCTTCGCTTCTAGCTAGTGCTGAGGAGGGCAGGTGTGTCTCGTCATTCTGCTGTTGGGTGCGTCACCAGGCCACATCCCGAATAGCCACTTTGGGAATCCCGTGTGGGTTGGCCGGCTGCCCTGAAAGGGTCCTTTTTCAGGGCTCTCCATTGACGCCCGCTAAGAGATTGCAATTACTCGCCGTCGCTGCTGTTGCTGGCTACTGCTGCCAGGCACCAGATCTCAAGCTTCGACTATCTACACTTTGAGCGAGTGCTGCCTCTTGGACGAGACAAGACAAGTTCACTAGAGCCAGAGACTATCTTGGATTACTGGTGAGAATAAGTCTGGCACCGCTCGTCCACATTATCGTCATATCATGCTCAGTTCCTTATGTGTCCACCGCGGTGGCTGATTGCTAGGCGTCAGCTTGGAGTATATGGTATAAGCAGTTTCTTTAGTGGCGCCTGTGAACGCTCTCTTTCTTCATAACAATGTCTTGACTTACACCACATTGCTAATTGTGTGTGGGCCCATTGCGATCTGCTACTTAGCCACACTCTTGATTACTTTTTCAAGGCGTCGCTCGAGATTGCTGCCATTCTGTGTAGGCAATGCTTTGAGATTGCAATATAGTTGATCCAATCAAGAAGTCACCATGGCCATGTACATGTAGCTATCTCGCAAATGAAGCTGCAAGAGACATGCCATTTCGTCAAACGAGGAACAGCTGATGTCTTTTGGCGCTATGCTGCTCGGCCAAAGAGCCGAGCTTGCTATTTCTATTCCCTGACAACCTCAACCAAGTTGCGTTGCTGCTGCTGCTCCCTTGCAAGCTTCTAACTACCTGCATGGATGGTCTTGAACTACCGCATGCAAGAAGATGATGCCAACCTCGACACTGTACCGTCCAAGCAAGAAGCCTTTTGAGAAGATCGCCATCATGACTGAACAAAGTGCGATCCATGGGACTTGCTGCTCGTTATCGCCGTCACCCCCACGGACCCACTTGCGTTTCCCGTCGTGGGTTGCCTTTCAAGTGGACTTGATGCCTTTTAGTAGACGGTATGCATGTGGATGTAACTGTGTCGTCAGTACTGAATGGTCAATATCGTCCTAGTACCGTCGAAACTGTGCCTAGTTTCGTCGCATCTCCGGGGTTTGCTATGATGCATTGCTCAATACAACTACCAAGCCCATCAACTATCCAGCAGAGAGCATCATCTACAGTCTACGTTGGCGAGTAGTCATAGACTTACCGTACCGGCCGAGAAGGATGATAATGTTGATGAAAGGACGCCGCAAGTTGGACGCTCGTCGCTGGGGTTCAACAGTGACTCCCCTCAAAGATTGGCTGAACGGATCTTGGCAACTCAATCTGCACCCATCCCTTGCAGTCCAGCTAAAACGCTCCTCTTCTCATTCTCCACCCCCAGCAGCACAAACCAGCTTGGCGCTACGCCGGTCTCAATGATCGACAAAGTTTCCAAAGACACACCCTTGAGCCTGTCCTCACCCCCCTTATTGCCCATGCTACACCCTCCAACCCCCCTACCTCGGACGCCCCATCACGGACAATTGAAAATTTTCTGGTGCTCCTACCGCATGACACACACCAGTGTTGATTGAGAACTCTTTGCACTAAGGCTATTGAGGCATAGCGCTTGATCCACGAATGCAGGATTCTCCTCAATTCAAGAGAGACCCCCCGGGCGCTCATTGCTCAAAGCCAGACACACCAGAGTGTACCCATCTGTGTGGCCTGGCGACGGCCTGACTGCCTTGAAGCAGTGCGCCGGTTCAAGGACCCACATTCATTCACACACACTCTCTCTTTCTCTCTCTGCCTCTGTGCCCCCCCAGTGCCTCCCTCCAGGTGCGACTGCGAAGCTCTGCAGTAGTCTTGTGCCTAGCGTCACGCTCTCTTCACCCTTGGCGGCATCCTTGTCTTCGGTCATGTAGCGCCCAGAGCACACCATTTTTCTGGAGGGTGATGCATATTTCAGAGGGATAAAGTACCGTCCCACGCCAAAGTCCAGCCCAGGTACATGTATGCGGGCCCTTGCAAGTCTGAGAGAAAGCCGCCCACCAAGGCAGAGTACGTACCTAGACTTTCTACCCTCACAAGTTCATACATATGGAACCACTTCCCTCCTCTCTCAACCTTCCACTTTGATCATTTTCATGACCTTCAACCTTCGAGTTACCATTCTCCTTCACAACCCTCGTTCCACATTGTACTTGTTATCGTAACACTTGTTTGGTCAACAACAAGCTATTCCACAACTTAATTCAACTCTCAAGGCAAACCACCACATCGAATCTTTACTAGGGCCCGGCATCTGTACGTTGAGTCAGACCTCTGTTCTACCAAATCACTTGCCGATACCGAAACGAAGCGTCTTGCTATTGCCTCAACTCTTGGGAATACAAGACCTCTCTTCCCCGGCATCAATATTCAACAATAAAACACTCACCACAAACACCAACAACGTCTGTCCATCATGTCTGGCAGCCTTTCCTGGGACCACCAGTTCTGCTTGGCCTGTGACAGGCAAACAGATGGTGCCACTTACTGCTCCGAGTCTTGCAGGCTATCCGACTTTGACAAGTCGTCTTCGCCCTTCAGCACTCCCGCGAGCTCACCTGGTCTGGAAACACCTGCATACTCATGGACAAGCTCGAGGCCTCAGACCAAGTTCTACTTGTCTCCGGCATACGACTTTAGCCAGGCTCAGCCTTACGGCTCGACACCCCAAGCACAATCATACCTGCACCGACACTCGATCTCTTCAACGAGTGGCCAGCTCACGCCTTCGAGTTCCTACAGCAGCCTGAGCTCTCTGCAAAGTGCTACTGCTACTGCCACGCCGGCAGGCAATGACGGCAAGCACGTATCAGAGAAGGCAAGGAAGCAGCTGAGGGACTACGCAAGTTCCTTTGAGCAGGCTCGGCTCCAGCGTCGACGATCCTGCTAAGCAAGTTTACAACTCTTTCTCTTTGCACATAACGAAAAAAAAAATTATCACTTTTTACTACTACTACTATTACAACGCACTATACCCATCGACGAAACATCTCCTACTTCACGGTTCACTCGGCGTCAAAAATCACACTTCACTTATCCTCTCCTATGTCGCACCTCTGGGGTTCGGGGCACGAAAGAACATCTCTACACATTTACGGAGCTGTTGTACAAAAGCATATAACGGAGCTCAGCATTAGAAAAGTTCCCGAAACTGGATCGTTTCGGGTTGTTTAAATTGAAATTCCAACTGTCGGCGCACCATTGGAGGGAGGGTCAACGGGACTCTCCTCGGCTACAACCCACGATGGGCAGCACGATACCACTTGTTTCTGGATGGGCAAACGGATTGCCTGGATGCTGAAACAGGCACACGGCAATGAATTGGCGAGGATCGTCCACGGAAGTGACGAAGGCGTTTTGATCACTTGACTGAAAATGTCACTTGGGTGATCTGCGGTTGACATGGTCACTGCATTTGGATGGAGACTGGATAGAGAGACATGTAACTTCAGTTCAGATGGCCCTCGTGGCAGCATTGGTAGCGGACATTTCTCACATTGCGAGAAGATACCACAAATCAATTACAGTCTAGAAGAATTTCTCTCGACTTCCAAACAAAAGTACTTCTTTACACGCTTGAGTTTCTGCCCATCAAAGTCCCACAATTACGTGATCTGGTCACATCTCCACGAAACATTGCCTCATCGGATCTTAGCTATTTCCACGATGACTCAAATTGCAGCTTCAGTCACGTCGTTCTCCGGATCGGCGGCCGACTCTTTCGTCCCACTTACGGCAGTGGTTGACTGGGCCTCCCCATCGTGCCTGGCTCTAATTAGGTAAAAGTGTGCTGTGTCATCGACGCTCCCCAGACCTTAGCTTGAACCTGCGTGGAGGTGTAGAGTCTGTGGGGAAGGCGGACAACTCATTGCAGAAAGTGGGCCATGGGCAGCAATAGTTTTTACGGTTCTTTTAGCCAAAACGCCTTCACTTTGTAGGCTGAGCAGCAAGTTTCTCTTCACGCACGCACAACCACACTACCGAACGCGTGCTTACAAGTTCTGACAATGGCGATCGGGCGGCGGGAACAAGCAGACAGCAACAATCAACGACGAGGGAATGAAAAGCTTGCTCACCAGCCATAGCCCCCAAGACCGGCCTTGCGCTTGTGCCACCACAACAGCTCAGGTCCCAGTAACTGGCTTTCGGTGGACACCCCGTCTTGAACCAATTCTCCGGGCGAGTGTTTAGTGGGAGAGGGGGTCATGCAAATACTTTCTTTTCTTTTTTTCTATCCTTTATTCTTCAGGTCCCGTGGTATCGATCATTCATGGTGATGCCTGCCAGCTACTTGGACGAGAGTGGCTGAAGCAACACGGAATTTTTTTTTTTTCTTCAGCACCAATTTCATCCCAGCTCCCTCCCCGCTAGGCACCGCCGGCCCGCCTGGCTTTTCTTGGCAATGAGGCTGTTTGAGGGGACTCGGACTCGGGGAGCACCTTGAGCTGAGAAGGGATGGGTAAAAAGTCTCGAAAGCCAGGTGGCATTGTCATGCATTACATAATATACGTGGTCCTCCTCCTACCGGGCAACGATGCATACATTGGCCCCATATCTAAACAATGCTAATCTAGGGAATTACCATTGATCATGACGAACCCAGTTTCGGGCATAAGATGAAATCGATCTAGACTCGACCCAACTTGCGCATCGCCGATGGATACTCACTGTATCACACTGGGTTTTGGGACTTTCTGGGCCAAACGGAAAACTTGAAAAGTACTACCCCGTTATCCCCGAGTGGGTTTCTTTTCCACAGCTTCACGAACGAGCCGAACCTCTCAAACTTGGCGGTAGTAGATAGATTGCCCATCTACCGAGGCAGTGGACTCGGGTTCTCTTCTCGAGGGAGAGAGGCGGAGACGTTCTCTTTGGTGGGTAGCACATCATTGTTTTCCATTGTTTCACCACGTCAAATGTATCCAGTGGTTTGGGAGCTCTCGCCTTTCTTATTCCCCCCTCTTCTGTTGCTTTCTCTCTTTCTCTGGGGCGGCATTTGCAGTTTCGTCACTGCCTCTGGCGGCACATGAACACACAATGCACTCACTTTGCCCCTACTTTGGTCGATTGGACTGGCTGCCAGACTGGGACGGTACCTACATTTCTCGCTCTGCCACTGTGAGACATTTCGAAGTGGCGGGTCCCGGTGAGCACGATTTAAGCTTTGTATACTAATGCATCAGACAAAAATGAATGAGACAGCGTGTGTGGGATGAGATGCCCAGTAATGTACGTAGTCAGAAGAATGAGGGACGATACAACACTAGAAACCCCAGCAGGTCTAGACTCAAAGATCGTCACCCTTCCGTCAAAACCCATTCCCATGGGGGTTCCAATTGTCCATTCTTTAGAGCGCGAATTGAGGTACCTGTTTTTTTTTTTGCTCTCCTTCGGGAGCCGACTAAAAAGCTGGACGGCTGGAGGCTTGAACCCAAATTGTGTATAGACGTAATATGTATTAATGTGTGTCTGTAGCATATACTGGTACATGGCTAAAAGATGACATCCGATCCCTTTGATGTTTATTCCCCTGGCTACTTTGCTTTCTTTTTTGCTTCCAAAATTTTTGAATTTTTGCAAGGGCAGAGCTTAAATGCTCCGTCGGTAAAAGCAGAGAAACAAAAAGAAGACGATGCGTTCGGAAATCTCGCAGCAGCATCATCGGGATTCATGGTGCAGGAACCGGGAATCAAAAATTTTCTATGTCCTTGTTGCGCAACGTAGCCCTGGCAGTCTGTGTGATGAGTGTGTGAGAGTAAATGTGCTGATCAGCCAAACAACCGCACCTCCAATACAAGGGGGGAAAAGAAAAGAAAAAGACGAAAGCCAGGGCCGCCTATATCGTACACTACACAGTACAGTCCGTTTGATACCCTTGCGCCCCTGACTAAATGTAAACCTAGGATTTTTTACCAAGCAAAGTCCAAGCAAGTGCCTCTCTCTTTTTTGAAATGCCGCTGCGCTCGAGCTTAAAAATATTCTTCAGATTGATTGGTGCGATGCTTGATTTGTCTGGACTGGGAAGATCAGAGAAACTCAATCTCCTTTCATCATGCAGGTGGTGAAAATTTTTTCGCTCCCTCCCTTTGGTTGATGCTTCTCTCCTATGCCAAAAAAGAGTCTGCCGAGCTGGCGGGCGGCGGCGAAAACGAAGAACGAGTCTCGATGTGGCCATAATTGATAGGTAGTTTTCCACTGTTATTAGACCCGGATCTGAGTTACAATGAGGGATGGCCCGCCCCTCGTACAACCAGGCAAGGGGGGGCGAAAGGGAGGAAGGGAGAGAAAAAAAAAAAAAAAAACACCAAGGGGAAAAAATCCCCTAGTCCCCGTCCATCAGCGGGTTCTAGGGTAGGTATTGGGCTTAGTGGGATGGCTGAATTGCAGATTCTACACAGTAGGTAGGCTGGGGGGTGTAGCAGTGCAGCAAGCAGCTTTTTTGCGCGCTTCGGCGACGGGCGGTTCTCCCTCCAATCCCTGGCCGAGGTGAAATGCTTGGCAGGGGACCGTAGTAACACTGTGATTTCGAATACCTTGTTGTAATTATATTCGTCTTCTCAACAAAATTAACAGCGCATGCACACAAACTATGCTGGAATGCATTCGACATTAACCATGTGGTGGTAGGCAGGTTGGGTTCAACTGAATGTAGTGTCCCTAGTACCATCATCCATGCCTTGAAAGGGGGAAGAGAGAGAAAATTCTTTCCAACAACAGACCTTGTTTCAGCCATAGGAAAAATCAGATTCTTCTCCCCTGTCGAGGTACAGTAAGTCAAAGCCGGTCAATGCGATGCTTTGACGCCTACATGGACAGTACTGCCTGTGTAAAGCTCCTCTCCGTCGCGCGATTTATTCAAGAAAATGCCCTGGAAGATTATTTCCAAAAGTGCCGCCCATGGTCTTTGATGCACGTGCGAGGCAGCGGCTTGTGTCGGGGAGAGCAAGGGAAAAGACGGAAAGTGAATTTCCTCCTTCGTTCGTCGTCTATTTCGGGACTGGGACAGAGTAAAAAAAAAACTTGAAGAGCCAGCCGCTGCTGTCTCTTAATCACTCTTCCCATTGTAGGAAATAGAGGTAACATGGACGAGGCTTGGGACATGGTATACGTACTGCGGCAACTACCAATACGCCAAATATGTATGGTCCTCTTTGTATTAGTAAAGAATAAGATTGACAGCCTTCTCTATCAACCAAACGGGGTTCTTGATGCTTCTCCCATTGGTATCTTTGCACAGACATTGATTTCTTCTCCTTGTCTTCAGCCGTCTGCTTGCCCTGTATTGTCCTCGGCCTGCCTGGTTTCTTTTTCCTTCCCCCTCTCTGCATCTGCTTCCCGAATGGATTTTGAGTTTAGAATCCTGAACGAGCCGCGCGTGGGGGTTAGGATCTTCAGGTTGAATCATGGTGGGCTACGATCATATCATCACAGTAATCAATTTCACTTACTGCATTGTCCTTGACAGGCTTGTTGCCAGGCGAGGCTGGGGTATGTTTCTCAAGGATCGTCAAGGTCACTGCCCATAAGCAGCATAGAGTTTCTGATTTCTGACGGAGGGAGCGCGGGAGAGCAACAAGATGCACTAGGTAGATCGCGATCTGGGGTTGCATCCTGCTAAGAATCCTGGCCAGGGCAAGAGGCACATAGCCCCCACACGCAATGTAGTGAGAGAGTTTTTCCATGTACTGTAGCATGTGTAATACTAGAGGTAGGTACTTTGTACGCTATGTATGCAATAGTTGGCAAGGTTGCAATTATCATCTGCATAGGTGAGTAACAACCTGTTCTCGTTCGCTGCTACTACATGGGAATATGTAGGCTTGCCTTCACCGAACGTCGTCGACCACGTACATAGTAGTGCAATCTACGTACGCATATATTTCGCGCGCTCTATTGAAATTTGGAATACAGAGTACAGATAGTGCCTGCATACCTACTCTTGAAATGCTACGCCGGTCACCACAATATCGAGCCGCAGCTTTTGTGGTGCTCTTTATGGCATGTTGCTTGCGCTGCGGAACCAACGTCGATCATGCTGCGGGACGGCTTTTCAAGGCAGGTCAGTTTCAGATACCTTCAGCCAGCCAATGGATCTTCATCCGGGTATCAAAACAAGCCATGAGGCTCACTTCATCATTGTCCCGCGGCGGAAGAGCCCCGGTCAATCTCGGGTAATTCTTCGACTTGGACCCTTCCCTGTCATTAATCCAAGTCGGCGAGCATGGCAAACAAAGCTATTGTCTCTTCTCCTTGACGCCCTTTGGCGGTGCTTGCTTCTAATTTTCACCTCTCCGAAACGCAAAACAGAGGTAGAAAGTCTTGCCGCATTGAGAACAGAAGCCCCTGGTTGACCGTCCCTTGCGTTGAAATTCCAGCGATTCCACACAAAGGTAAGCCCAGACCGAGCAAGAAGAGCTGCCAGCGGGCTCTATTCTCTCACCGGCCAGCCATGTAACAGCAGGGCCTCAGTTTAAAGGCCAGGGTATCATTGTATGGCACAGACATGCTAGGAAACGACTGGGTTAATCGACCGCGGAAGCTAGCCACTGCATACCCGCGGACTGATCGACCATCCACCCCGTTCATTCGTTTGCACCCCCTCCGTGCGTCATCGAATGATTTTTTCTCTCTCTCAACTGCCTTCTACATACTCCATACTCTACTCACCACTATGCACAATGCATACATGGTATCTACACTAGTCCTCCGGCGAATCCCCAGAATGGACCCCCATTCCCATCCCGTCCTCGGCGCCCGCCGCTGCTGGGATTTGGAATGAAATAGGCATGCGACTTGGAAACTGCCGCGTAGGCAAGGGTTGATCATGGCAAGAAGAGATGCATCCTCCATGGGGAGGATCCCCGATGAGACCAGCATCTGGTCGTCTCGGATGCTCAGTGTCCATGTTCCGGACGTAGACAGTGGATATCTACCATGTGAAGGTGCGTGCGTCTATTCGTACTTTTTCTTCGAGTCGGGCAGCTGGATTTTTCTACCTTACACAGCACTTACCAGCGTGAGTGGCTCTTTGGTTGGTCTTTTTTATGGAGAAGGTTGTTTTGGAATCTTCCGATCCAATTGTTCCGACAAGACTTTTTCAATCTATCGGGTGCACGAGTATTTCACTCCTGGTCCCGACTGGGTTGAGCAAAAAAAAAATATACACGGGACAATCAGATCAGGCACGGGAGAAACCGCCCAATTTCCTTTAAAGCCTCTCGTCCGGCCGTCAAACGTGTCAGCCATTGATTCCAACAAAAAAAAAAAAAATGGCGTCTAGAACCCAAAGCTCAGACTGACCGGCCACCGGATCGCATTCCAGCGAATTGAAAAGGATGAGGGTCTCTTCTTCGCCCCTGTTGTCGGCTTAGCTAAAACTTTCTACGTAGCTAGTCACAGCGTATGGCATGAGTCTATTGTTTCTTCATTATTTTTGGCGTTTGTGCGTCAGATGCAGGGCAGGAGAAGGCGGCTGTTACCATGCCACGTTTTCACACAGACGACCTATGATGATGCATCTGGGGAAAGACAATGTGTTTTCCTGCTTTCCGGTCTGCCTGTTGGTTATGGTAAGCGAGCCATGCGCGACCGCCGAGATCAAAATCTGATCCATTGTTTTTGCGCCAAAGATCCATCTCGGCAGGTCTCTGCTTGGCTCGGATTCTCGGGCGGAGCAAAATCATAATTCCTGGTCTCTCCACTGCGTGGAGGCTTACTGGAATGACGGAGGGCAAGAGTTCCACTGATCCGAAGCAGCATCGTACCATGCGGAAACGGAGCACAGCGATACGTGCACCCACAATGACACGATTCGGGTTTTTGGTCGTCCACAAGAGAGATCTTTGTGGCGCTCGATCTCAACACGTAGGACCCCCAATTTGCGGGCTACCGTACACAGACGAGCCGGCAACCGAGATGAGGCAGCAGTGCATTGAGGCAGAGGTTACCCGAGGCAAATTCTCAATGGTCTGTCCGCTGGCAGAAAGAGGGAAAAAAATAAAAAGGAGACTGGATGATGCCTTCGCTTCCATGCTTCAATCGTGTCGTGGTCGGATGTCGGATATTCTTAGGTAAGAAGAGGTTGGCAATGGGCAGACACTACCAAGCTGCTGCCGCACTACGGTAATCCACATCCAGGATGTGTATTTTGACTGATAAATCGGGTCGCAGCCCTACGAGGTTTGGACCCTCTCTGCCGGAGACCCGGCCCCCAACGGGAGAAAAAGGAAACACACAGTACAGCGGAAGAAAAAAGACTGACCTAGCCATGACTGTAATAGTAGCTCCCTTTGTCGCGTCCGCCTTCATCTTGGTGAGACGAATCATATATAGTCATGCACTATCGGTCATAAAGTAAAGAAATGGGCCAGCCATGGTACGTAGGTATTTTAATGATCATTCTACTATAATGCCCGTGTCTGTACTCTGTAGTATGCATCTCGCAACTAGGTGAGCCTCTACATGTTAGCTTTCCATGGCAGGACCCACTTGGGCGTGATCAGTAAGATCCTGAATCAGGTTCAAGGACTCTTGGAAAGTGAAGTAAAAAAATTTTTCTAGTACAGCAGAGAAAACAAAAAGAGTCATCCGTTGGTGATCCGAATCCGGTATGCGCACAGCCTTTCCGTAATGTCTCACCTATTCTGGAGCCCTTTCATTCCACAAGTGTAGCCATCAAGTCTCACATTTGCCCCGGCAGCGATGCCGGCATTCAAGTTGCTTTTCGTCGCGTGGTGCAAGGCACAAAAGGTCCCCAACATATGACATGTGCCGCTATACTTGATCCGGCGATGGGAAATACACGGCTTGCTTACTGTAGGAATAGTCGTGTGTCTCCCTCTCAAACCTAGTATTCCATGCCCAAAAGAACCTTGATGGCGCCCTGCTCAGGAACGAGCTGCACGAGAGAAAACGGACGGCAAAAAAGGGCTTGAGTACCTTCTGCATGGATGATGTGATCTCAATTATCGAACGACATTATTCGTAATTGTGTCGTAGAAGCGCACATCAACATTTCTAGTTACGTACAAACTAGATTCGGGAGACAAGTCTTGATCACAGCGATGTGAGAGTAAAGGGAACAAGAAAAGCTTTGATCACTTTTGTATCAAAATTAGCGAGCACTGTTTGATTGAAACGTCGCGCTTGGGCGGCAGGCAAGAAAGAAAACTTGCCTAAAAAAAAAGGAGCAAGACACTTGACACAAATCACACACCCAGTAGACAGCTGGAATTGCTTCCGTTGTGTCAACAGCAGTGGATCCGCGCCACCAGAAGAAGACGAGGCACAATTACCACATCGCAAGAGAGGATGCGTCATATCAGCCACTTTGGGTAGTATTCCATGAGTCAACTTGTGGTCCTCACGCCCATGGCTTCATTCTAGTAAGTCGCCAAATCTCCAAAAAGGCGTGTTCCTAACATTCCAAGACCAATGCTTCTCCGGTATCCTCTTTAAGCCGACGCCCGCCCCGTTTCTCTGTCCGTAAAATGTGTGGATATGGTATGTGTGCCTTGCAGAAGTTTAGTTTCGAAGCTGAAAAAGAACATCAAAGAACACAAGGCGGCCCGTTCCCACCCCACGAGGGGGTCCGGCACGCCCGCGCAATCCCGCGGTGTGATATGGCGTTCTGGGCCTTGCTTATTCGGAGTTGAGACAAGCCGGCACTGAAGGTCATTGGAGTAGACTTGATCATGTTTGACTTTACTATTTTTTTTTTTAAACAAGAGGCTAGTAGCGGTGAGCATTAGAGTCAGCTAGCAAAAGAGACGAAAATGAATTCAAATTTCGAAAGGGGGAAAGAGCCACGGGAACTTTCATCAGAGAGATGGGATCGCATCGGCAAACTTGAATGATCTGCATAAAAACTATACAGGCTATAGCTGGAGCGGTGACAATGCCTCAAAGCCCTTGGCAACCACCTCCTCGCCGCCGGCCATCATGAACTCGTACTCGAGATCCGGCTGGGCCTCACGGTAGAGGGCGTTCTTCTCGCTCGCCATGGTAAAGTTGTAAGCCGCCTCCTCGTCCGAGATGATGTTCTTCTTGAGGCCGGACGCGGCCGCGGCCTCGACCTGCAGCTGGATCTGGCAGCCCCGGTCGAGCAAGCCAAACATGAAGCCGGCCTCGTCGACGGTCCAGCCGACCGTGATGAGTCCGTGGTTCATCAGTATGGCGCCCTTGTTGTGCTGGCCCAGGGCGTCGGCGATGCGCTCGCCCTCGGTGTTGCCAAAGACGATGCCGCCATAGTCGGCGTAGACGGCGTGCGCGTTGTGAAAGTTGCAAATGTCCTGGCTCAGCATGTCGAGGGGTCGGGCAAAAGCCGACCAGGCGCGGCCGGCAATGCTGTGGAAGTGGCAGATGGCGTGGATGTCGTGCGGGCGGCGCTTGTGGACGGCGCTGTGGATGAGGAAGCCCGCGGCATTGGCCGGCCGGCTCGTGTTGCCCCCGACAATGCGTCCCGTGTTGATATCCAGGCAGATGAGGTCGCCTGCCGTCATCATACCAAAGTGTCTTCCCAAGGGGTTCATCCACATGAGGTGCTCATGTTCCGGGTCTCGTACCGAAATGTGGCCCGCCATGCCCTCGGTGAAGCCCTGTCGCGCCACGAACCGGAATGTTGCCGCCATGTGTGTCAGGATGTGCTTGCGCTCCTCGACAAAGCTAGAGAAGGTCGGGATACCTGCCGCCCATGTCAGTCTCGGTGAATGCGTTTCCATCTTAGTCTCATTCACTACTGGAGACCGAAAAGGTGTCGGATCTCGCCGAATGAAGGTCACTGTAGGCGTGCGCGAGCAGTCGGCGCCGGCTCAATTTTGCGACATGGAGACGTACCAGGCAAAGCAGTGCCATGAGAGATTGCCTCCAGGGGCGTCTTGTCCAGACCGTCTCTCATGGGGACACCGGCATCTGACTGCTGGACTTGGTCCTTTACCTTGGTCGGAAGGACGCTGGGCGGGACCTCCGAGATCGCCGATGGTGCCATGTTTGTAGTTGGTAGAGAAAGAGTCTAGGGAAAAAGCAGACCGCGAATGCCTTGGTGCCTCGAAATTTGTCTACTCAAGGAAATACCACCTAAAGACTTTAAAAAATGATGATCATGTCAAGTTGGTCAACATCAAACAAAGTTTTGTTAAACGGAGGGCGTGGCACAGATAGGCATTCTCCGGAGCCGCCACTCCAGGCGGCGCGGTGTGCCGATCCCGAAGTTTGCGGACTAGGACTAGCCTTACCCCGACATTCTTGGCCTTTTTTCTCTTCTGGAAGAAGCAGGTCAACGCGACGTCCTGCATGGGCGACAACCAGGACTTGGGCGTCTCAGTTTCTTGGCGAACAAGCGCAATGCATTTATTCATGTCTACTCCCAACAATTACTTGGAATCTCTTTTGACGTCTGTTTCTACTGCTACTAATACAGCCAGCTCCTGTTGATCTGCGTACAGAGTACTCCACCCAAGCATCATGGTCCGACGATAGATTGGTTATGCTGTTTGATGCTGTCGCAGGCTACTTTCAGAAGAGTAGAATCGTTTTATTCTGATTTGAGGTGTCGAGGGGATAGTATGATAACATCAATGTCCTTCATGGACGATACGGGCTTGGTAGGCGAAACGACGTAGAGGATACGTCGGGGCCCGTCACTGATAGCAGCGGGCCCGCACCCGATATGGCAAAATTGAGGGCCTGAGTTCTTTCAGCAAGCTGCCGTTTGACGTGATGCCCAGCACTACTCACCTGCTGATTCATGTCCTCGTCATCTTCTGCTGCTTTTGCCTGGATTACGAGCTGCTCGGCTAATGATTTTGCGACTATATTGTCTCTTCCAGCGATTGCCAGCATATTGAGTAAGAATACCAGGTTATCCTCGCAATGGGGGCTGTCGTCGTCCGGGCCAAGATTGCTCATCATGATGAGAATAGCCGAGGAGACTGAAAATAACGCGACAGGATTCCGCATCACCAGTTTAGCATTAGAAGTGGCCTTGATAATATGCACGATCTCTTCGGCTGCTAGTAGTATGCGGTCTTGACACTGACTTGCCAAGTCCGCTGGTAGATCGAGGGATTGATATCTCTGCATTGCTGATTGGTGGAGGCGTATCGTTGCGGCATGGATGTATAAATGCACAGTGGCTTCGTGAGGATCCCTGTAATTTAGTTGGATAGTGGTACCCGAAATAGCTGTACGCAAGAGTGACAGATGATTGTCCAGTCGTCTATGTTGTTTCCAATAGACGCCATTCTTCGTGTCGCACAATTCAATGTCAGAGAAATCGTGAGAGGTATGTCGGACACTTTCGTGAAAGAGATGCGCAGCCACTATATTGCGATTGAAAATCGACGTCGGCTGGACGAAATTCTCAAGCAACGCATGCAACGTGCAACACGGCTCAGCTTGGCCTGCTGCAAAAGCCTGCTCAGAGGCTGGCAAAGGTGTGCAAATCTAGAATTTCCTTAGAAATGTGACACTTTGGGAATTTTCGAGGTGTATTGCAGGCATGATGAGCGAGAAATGGGGATCTTACATCATGGGTGTCTATCAATGAAGGCCACCCAGTTGTGGCGCTCAAGAGGCGATCAGTGTTGAACAGCGCCCACCAAGTTCGACGTTGTTCTTCAATCTCCCGCCAATCTGGAGCCGTCAGCTCTTGGAGATAATGGTCATTCTCTGGAAGCTTGTGTAGCTGGCACATTTGTGCGAATCGAATACTGTGGCTAAAGCTGATTGATGCACGTGAAAATACTCCTTGTTGGGCTTCATACATGGAAATCAGAAGCCAAGCCTGGGCTTGTAAGACTGTTGGTTCACTGGCATCAGCATGCTTGGAGTTTTGTCTGTCAGCAGCATCTTGAGCAATGGTTTTGAATCGAGACTAACGATTGAATCGCCATTGTCGGCAAGCAGTCTTGCTTGCCGGTACAAAGCTGGGCTTGTTTGATTATACTGCTCCGAATGAGTAGCCGCTAGTGCCATGATGATATACTGAAGCGACGTCATGGGCCTCGATGCATTGGACAGAGGTGTTGACTCCATGTATTTAGCGCGGTGTAACATGGGGCATACATCATGTATAGTGTCAAAATACAAGTTGGTACTGCAAAGTCAGCGGCCATGATCATGTTTCACATCTGTGGAAGTCTCACAGCTGCTCGGCTTCTTCTTTGCTGAGACCGCAGCCGAGGGATTCCTGTTGCAGCGGAGGCATAGGAGTTGTGTGGTTGTCATCCCTTATCATATTCCCAATGCAGGCACTGCTATGTGCGTCCATGGCGCTGCTGCCGCCATCGTCGGCTACCATTGTCATCTTTGTTAGTGGGACTTGGTTGTTGGTTTCTCGGGTATAGGCAGCCCTCACTCATTTGCACTCCACGTCCTACACCATACTTGAGCCTACGGCCCACGCGACGCTGCGTTGGGTAGGAGCATTCTGACCGCGATTTTTGGCAACGTCCGCATACGGGCCTTTGACGGTCACATCTTACTTTACTGCTACGGCAACCGAAACAAGATAAATTGATTGCGGATGACTGAGGAACATGGAGAGACTCATTTAATGACATTGTACGCGGCTGGGCACGTGAATCATGATGTTTGGATCAACAGCGAATCAAATTGCGCTGCTTTAACATTGTTTAGCGACTTGAGTTTTTAGCCAAGAACTCTCAGGTGGCGTCCGTGTTGCCAACTGGCAAGCTGTTCTGTGCCTACCAGTGACGCTCGTCCTGTGGTTTTAAAGTCTAAGCCAATTCTTGTTTTTGCCTTCTTTTTTCTCCTAAAAGAGTTGGACATGATTGCTGAGAATAGCCGCAAGTTGGTCAAGACTTGTTACATATATGTACATATATCTGTTAGGTGAGACTTTCTCGGTTCTTGTAACTTGACTGACGTGACAACTTATAATACATTGCATTGGTACCACACTGCCGCTTATGGTCGCTTGGCATATGGTGAAGTTTCCAGCCAGGGACCAAATGCCTTCAGATCGGGATGCATCTCACGAAGCTCCTTTATGTTGGCTCCATAACCTTCTCTTTCGAAAAATTCAAACATTGTGCCCATCTCCTTCGACAATCGTAATGTCAATCTGCCCAGAATTCCCCAGGTCAAGGGCACATCTGACCCGGTTTTCTGTTTGAAAATCGCCGCCATTTGCTCAAATGTCAACTCATCCCCAGCAAGGGAGATGGCCTTGCCTGCAAATGTTTCTGGTTCCCTGAGGGCCTTGGCTGCAAAAACTCCAATGTCCGACGTGGCGATTAGCTGAAGTGGGCGAGATTTGACAATCAGTTTCCAGCACGTCGCAAACACTTTGCCCACCATGCCACCATCAAAGTTCTCCATAAAGGCCACAGGTCGTAGAATCGTCCACTTCATCTGGGTGCCCACGGATTTATTGATGAGATGGTGTTCAATGTTGTGCTTGCTCATAAAATGAGGAATATTTGTTTGATTGTCAATAGACTTGGCGCCGCTGCGATCGACAGAGGAGTAGACGAAATGTCGGACGTCGTTCTTCAGCGCGCTGTCGACCAAGTCTTTTCCTTGCTTCTCCTCAATTGCAGGTCCCGTGGAATTCATGGCTGGCGTCTAGATAAAATGTTAGAGTCTTCATGTGATGATTTTTCTTTGGGGGATTTGCACCAACCTGGACACTGAACACGCCCCAAATGGGTGACGAAGTAGCCTTTCGTGCATTCTTGAAGACAGATTCCGTGTCATCCAAGTTTCCCTGAATGAGTCTAATATTGGGCGATTTGGCAGCCAGTCTCTGCGCAGATGGAGAAGAGATGTCGCGGGTGAGGGCGAGAATTTGAAAATCGGCCTTGGCAGCGAGCAAGGCATTCACCAATGAGCCGCCTTGTTTGCCAGTGGCACCGGTGATTAGTACAGTCCGAGACATGGTCGTGTAAATGCAAAGTGCAACGAGCTGATTAAAGAAGCGTTGTGTTGAGGTGGCATTATGAACGGAGATGTCGAGAATTCGGCATATATTTATATACTTCAATCAATTGATTGTTCCAGCCATCATGTCGAATCGCACACACTGCATCGCAAAGCGCGATCGATGAGGCCGAGATTGTCTTCTGTGTAAGCTTGCTTACCTGGGTACCTATAGAATCGTCACGAATTGTGAGGCTAGTGGACCCCGGTACTGGACGACGCTTGCAACGCTCAGCTAATCGCACAGCTTTGCTCGGGCACGTAACGTAATCCAAGCCCGAGCTGGCTTACCAATCGATGCCGACACCACTGTGGGTCAAAGAGTATACGCAGTACGCAGCATACCTAACACTCATCTGAGTCCTATCAGGGTAAGTTGATGTCTTGATAGTGTCTTCGCAATCATCCTCTTCTTCTTTTTTCAGCTTTCTTCAAAGTTTTATTTCAAGTTTGCCCTTACGTTGGATTTGGATGCATTTCGCGCACGGCGGATGGTCTTTGAGATACCAAACATGAGGTTGTCGCAAGAGCCCACATAAACCCTGTAGTCCCTGCAAGGTTTCTATTTGCCAAAGACATTAGTAGGTACTAATCACTGTTTGATGCGACGTTGAGTACCTTGTTCCTCGATAAACATTACCACCATAGTCAACCACAGCTGTGCAGCTTTACTCAAATTTGGTCTCAATCAAGATCCTCCAGGACCCTCAATTGATGTCTTACTTATTGCACCGTCGATCGGTGTTCCTTGTGCATCTAGCGCATCACCATGGACATGCATCGAGACACGGCTGCGTTCTTTGGTCGTTGTTATCACTCCATCATCACCTAGGTAGCTAAGAAGCTGGCTAGATGCGCACTAAATATTGATCTTGAACCGAAAGGTGAGATGTCAACTGCGGAATAGCTGGCAAAGGGCGTCTCCCAAGGCTACCTATCATCAAGGGGAAAAGAAACAAAAAAATCTTCCGTACTAGGCAGAGAAGAGAATTAGTTTTTGACTCGGCAGACACGCTATCGTTCATTGGCTGGTAGACATGATTCTCTGGTACCAACTCCAACTCGGACGAACATGTCCGCGGACATCGTGTCCGCCGACCAATGTCCATAGACTGCTATTGCTCCATGTTTTCCAACTCAGAAGGTTGAAAGTCTAGTATAAATCTCACAAAAATGTCGCCAATTTCGTGACTGTCATTGCAATTGCATTGTCTCACATGGAAATCGCTTCGACACCAATCAATCACAACAATTATATCCTCCCAGCATTTCCCTCATACAAACCGCACAAAATGAACTGGTTCTGGGCTAACTGGTATCACGTCAATGCCGGTGTCGCTGTATTAGCAGCGAGCATTCTTGCCGCTTATTGGAATCACTTTGATCTGGTACAGCGATGCATTATTGCCAACTTCGCCGTCATGAATCTCCATCACTGGGAAGAGTTTGGCTTTCCGGGCGGGTTTACAGGACTCTGCAACATTGCGCGCTATGGAAGCGATCGTCCTGCTCACTACCCACTGAATCAACTCATTGCCGCATTTGGTAATAACTGGTTCAACTACATCGTCTATCTACCGCCGTTATTCCTACCAAAGGTCACCTTTCTCACCCTTTGTCCCATGGCTTTTGGTCTCCTGGAAGTGTTTGGACATGGTGTCTTGATGAATGCTCTGGTTCGTCGGCCGTACAATCCTGGTCTTGCGACTTCTATTTTCGGCTTTCTTCCAGTTGGTGTGACATACCTTCAGCACGCTCACTCCAATAACCTCATTAGCGGGTTGGATTGGTTGTTGGCATTTATGTTTGCCATGGCGAATTATTATGTTATCTTTTATCACATTGGTATCGGCTACATGGGCAGCAAGACGACTCCATACGCATTCACCAAAGAGGAAATGGACCGATACAACCCTTCACTGTGGTCCCCTTCTGTCTGGCTGGCTTATTACCGAGACAACTGGTACTACTTTACGGCCATCGCCTTTGTGATTAGCACTTTCGTCATGGGATTTTTCGGCAACCTCTTTACTCGCATTCAGACCATCCTCATTTATAACCTCATGGCACTTTTTGTACATCAAGTCGAAGAGTACATATTACCCGGTGGCGGACCTCTTGTTATCAATGTTGCCTTTTACGGAGAGAGAAAGGACTATGACCGCTTCCCTGGCAACAAGCTTAGCATGGCCTGGGTCAACACACTTGCATATCCTTTCTACATAAGCGCTGTCGTATTTCCTGACAACGTCTGGCTGGGTCTGGCTCAATGCTTCTTTGGCTTTTTTCAAGTCATTGGTCACGGTCTAGTTATGAATATCAAGGCCAATACAGCATACAACCCAGACGTCGCCAGCGCTCTACTATTACACTTGCCTATTGGCATCTACTACATTGCGCATGTTCATGATCATCAGCTGATCCAGGCTGTGGATTGGATATATGGACTCGGTGGTTTCATCCTGGCTTCGATCCTGACTATCGTCATCCCCATCCTCAGTTGTCGCAATCGCCAGTCGTCGTATCCCTTGACGGCGAAGGAAATGGCTGGATTCAATTTGCTGAACAAATACCGCGCAAAAGGTCTCTTGAAGACCGACTGATTTGTTTGCGCTGATTTGAAATGATTCTCCTTATGTTTCGTATATTACTTGAAGAGGACGGAAGAAATTCGCAACTGTTGCCCGTAAATAGCAGGATTTCATGACAAGCCGCCTGCATGCCATCTCCTGGCATACCAATATTGGAGCTTGGTATCAAATTTCTACCAGATGATATACTAAATAGCATGTCAAAAGTTGATAAAAGAATATTTGACTAGATTGGTTACATTAAAATCATGAGTCCTTACACAAATACATCCATTTCTTCTCAATAGCACCAGTCATATGTGAAGCAGCCAGAGAACGAAGGATTCGCAACGTTATATCTGAGTAAATTTCTCACCACATCCTAGCACTTTTTCTGAGGCGTCAGAACATCTGAATATCAATTCTAGCTGTATTAAGTGAATTATTGTAATATCTAAGTCTCTCTAGCCACTCTCCCTTCTCCATCCCCTACTCAGTTCAGATCGCCTAATGATGATGTATCATCAGACCTTTTCGACATCTGAAGGCTCTTGCTGACGGAGCCGTGTATAGTCTCCGGGCCCTTTGCATCCATTTGGCACGTGAAAGAGGTTGTCTACACGAGATACCAGGAATATTGCAAGAATAATGACCTCTAGCATGAAATCAAAGCAGTAAAAGGCAGCTTTCGAGTCAAACCAAGCTGGATTGAGCGCCGAGCGGGTCGGTTCCCAAGTGGTACCAGTCTTGAAACCAGCAATGATTATGGCCAGGGAACAGGAAATGAGGAGGATTGCCGACTTCTTGCCCTGACTTCCGGTTCCAAAAGTTTCTTCATCTGGCGATGAGGGCAACAGATATGCCACGCCGAGCATACAAGACGGAAAGACCGCAAGAACTAGTGAATAGGTTGAACTTGCAAGAATGACGTCGTGGATGGAACGCAAAGTGTGCAAGTTTGTCGTATTTATGGATACGACCAGGGCCACAATGGCCATGATAAGCGATCCGACAATCAAGGCGCAAAGTATCTTGAAAACGATACGAAATAGCCCATTCCAGCCGAGTTTAGGTTGCTTGGACCGAAGGATTCGTTGCGCAAATATCATATTGACAATATAGATGATGATAATGCCGGCACTGTTAAAGACTTGAGCAGCAACGGCGAGCTTGGAGCTTGTTGGGTTTGCTGCCCATGCGATGCGCGTAGAACAAGTGACCAAGCGTATGACACAAAAGACAAAGAGCATCCATGTCATGAGAAATTTGTGAGATCGGCGACGGTTTTGAAGAAAGATTCGAAGATGTAGGACGGCACCCGATAGGTATAGGGCCAAAAAGACGGCACAAATTGGAGCATCGATGGATATTGTTGGAAGGCCTCCGACTATTGCGGTCTACCCAGATTCATGATTAGTATTTGGTCTTGTCCTTGATTGTATAAGAATTATGCAATTACCGATGTCGAACCAAACGAAGCCATAATAGTAAAAGTCGACCGTGGAATAAGTGCAATGATAGACTGAAAAGTTTAAAGATTAAAAAGAAAATGTCTATAATATTGAAAAAGATGGAAACTTCTTCTATTATATGATTTTCCTTTCTTTGCAATTATTCTAGGGGTTTGTTGCTGCATTATCTATCCCTGCCCGGACGAAGAATATGTCCGCGGACGAACCGACGCGAGTAAATGCGCCGATGACCCCGTCCGTCTACTAGTCAGTCTTCGCACTAGTCCATGGTCCATTTACTACTGCCGAATCGAACCTGATGTAAATGAGGTTTTCATTACCCATTCAATCAATTATTCTTTCATTTCATAAATGACTTTGTTTGAATCTGATCGATTTCGCACTATTGACCCTACACAAGCGCCGATTGGTGGGTTTGACAATAGGCTCAGTCTGAATCTCCTGGCAAGTAGCTGCTGCTATGCGACTCAGATCTTGCGATCACGCTGGGCGAACATCTAGACCATCAATTCAACATGGCGAGCTGCTCTGTTGCACGCCATGTTCGAAAAGGCGCGCATTCGTGCGTCGAGTGCCGGAAACGTAAGCTTCGCTGTTCACGGTCATCAGAAACTGCACAATCATGTCGTAGATGCGAAGAGCGGTTTCTCGAGTGCATTCCCCAGATTTTGTCAGCCCCCTCGACATCCAAGCCGTCGAGAAAGACACGAGATCGGATCTCATGGTTGGAAGACAAGGTTCACAATCTCACTGAAGCTGTACAAGCTTTGCAACAACCAACTGCGGGCACAATTTCTGATCTTTCCTTGGAGTATTCTGCCTCCGACTCCGAGGCTGGAGAAACGGACACATGCTCAGATATTGCCATACCTACGCAGCCATCATATCTCAATGCTCTATTCAACAATAGCATCCTTAACTCCACGGAAAATGATGCTACAGGCAGATCAAACCCGACATCTTCGCAATTCTCCCATACGATTAGGGTTGCACTGCAGTCACTTGTTCCCAGCAAGGGAAATGTCATATCACTGGCCGAGACATCATCTGGATGGCTCTCATTATTACATGATATCTTTCCAATCATGACCGATATCAAGTCAGGGTACGACATTCTCTCGCGCCATGACGAAGTTTTGCGTCCTACAGCCAACCCATTGACTGTCGCATCGTGGCTCTTGATAGTTGCCATCACAGCACAGCATAATGCAGGACCCCGACATCAGATAACCTTGCGAAACAAGAAGCCTTTGAATGGACCTCGATACTCTCGTTTAGTGGCCGAATCCGTGGAAAGAACAATCATTGTACGCGACCAATTAATGATCTCTGTTGAAGGAATCGCAACAATGACCCTCCTGGTTCGATTGTATGTATCACCCATTGCATGTGGCTGGTGATAATGCTGATGAGGAATCACGACAGACATCTGACACATGGAAACTTTGTTCAAGCCTTTCTGCTCCTCCGTCGGGCTCTTGCCATTGCGGAGTTGCTCGGCCTACCATGGGCAACACCTCGCTGCCTCTTGTGGCAGCACATTTGCACCGCGGAGCGTTTCCAAAACATGCTTTTAGGGTTCCCCTCGGTAACTCAGCATTATGGTCTTGGACAATTGGAGCCCGTCCTTGTCGACGGTAAAATTGTGCCACCGAATTTCCTCCTGCGACTATCCAGTCTAGCTCTCGACATCAATGGACCGAGTGACTTGAGGAACCACTCGACTTCTTTATCAGAGATCCAAAGTGCAATTACGAAGCGAGACAGGGACCTCAAGGACTTGATTAACCAAATGCCTGACAATTGGTGGTCCGATGAAGCAACCCTCTCCCTGTCGGATCGATTAATCAAGCATATCTACCACTACATGACCTTGCGACTTCATCTTCCCTTGTTACTGCGCCAGGACGTTTCGGAGCGAGGGCTGCAAAGCCGAGCTGCGTGCATAGACGCATGCCGGGCCCTTCTCCAAGGGTACATAGACGTGTACCCGCTAATACTGGAAGGGTACTTTATACAACGGATCTTGGATCTCCAGATATTCACCGGGGCGATAGTGCTGCTACTGGCTGACCATTCCTGTGGAGTTCATAATCACGACAAAGGAGCAACGACTGATATGCCATCAGTCAGTATGAAGCTGATTGCCAACGTCGTTCAAGCTATTGAGCATCACTCGGAAAACCCCAGATCTGACATTGCCGAGCAGACCCTTGGGGCTATACAAACACTTACGGAACTGCTGGGAACTGACGACAGTGATGCTCTCCAAGGTGACACAGTCTTACACGTTCCTCTTCTTGGCAAACTTCACGTGCGGCGCAAGACCGAATCTGAAGCTTCAATCGATTTTGATCCCTCAATACCCGATTTTGATATGGCCGGCATGGATATTGATCAAGTTGCGACGAGTAACTTCAATTGGTCGATTGAGCAGGCATATGATCTCCTGTTCTATACAGCGACGCAATCCTAGACATTCTACTCTGTACAACAGAGTAATATGCAAATATGATCATCAAGCTTGAGCTCGAACATCATTTGGCAATCCTGTGTTGGACGCCAAATTCATAGAAACCCAGGCCTTTCAGCATTACAGCGCCAGCTAACACTGTTCTCAAACCAAGTCGGCAGCCTTTCCAAGCATAACGGCAAGAGTCTCGGTGGCGTAGGCTCCCTCAAGCAATAGAAGACTTACTTGATCGAAATGTATTGTATTTTCGTGTCCTACTTCCAGATCGTGTACATTTCGAGGACACATTAATTGTACCGATGCCATGTTACAATGCCTCCGGCGCGTCTTTATCGGACTGCTTGTCACTTGCATGTTGGCATTTGGTGAACGGGAGTTGAACTGAATTAGCCACATATCTAGGTAGATTACAGTACCAGATTGCAAGCTTCTCCTAACTGGCTCAGAAACATTTACACCAAAGGCTGTGGATCGCTGCAGATGAGAAGCTGCATTTACTGCTCTCAGAAATGGGGTAGAGACATGTTGGCAGGGCCACTGGGCCAGTAGGATATCAAATCAATGCAATGCGGTCTGGGGTACGCAGTGGAAGAGATAAGCCACATGCATCAAATGTCTTAGCTATTGATAGGTCGGCGGCCCCCCGGCGAAAGTTTATTCCACTGGCAGCGCAAAGCTCGGAAAAGGCTCCACTCTTGTCACGATTAGGCCGGGAAATACCGCTAAGAATGGAACTGGCCCGTGCCGGGCGACGAGCTCAACCAGGGACAGCTTGTGTTTTTTGTGTATGATAGCATCGTGCCGAGCATCCAAGGTTAAACACCTCGTCCATCTCGACCCCTAATCGCTCAGCTGCCAACGGTTTTCTATCGTGGGCCTGCATCGCATCACTTTCAATAACCACCGGCCATCTCATCTCAGCACACTCTCTCGTCAATATGTTCAACTTTGCTCGCAGCAGAGCTGCGGCTACGGCCCTTCGATCAGCTGCCAAGGTAATGCGCGAACGCGAAAAATCCGATAGGATACATGGTGCTATCTGCACTTTGCCAATGACGATGCTGACTTTTTGCCCCAACAGCCCCAGCTGTCCTCCAGATTCCCCAGCCTCGTTCAGCAACAACGAAGGAATCTGAGCATCCACGAGTACCTCTCGGCCGACCTCCTGCGCAAGGTAAATTAGCCGCGACCTAACAACCACCTCCTCTGCCACCCAAGGCGCATTCTAACCTTCTTGCCCTACAGTATGGCATCCAGGTCCCCAAGGGCGCCAACGCCTTTTCTGCCGCCGAGGCCGAGAAAATTGCCAAGGAGATTGGCAACGACGACATGGTTATCAAGGCCCAGGTTCTTGCCGGTGGCCGTGGAAAGGGTAGCTTTGATAACGGCCTGAAGGGTGGTGTTCGCGTCATCTACTCCCCGACCGAGGCCAAGATGTTTGCCGAGCAGATGATCGGCCACAAGCTCATCACAAAGCAGACTGGTGCGGCTGGCCGCCTCTGCAACTCCGTCTACATTTGCGAGCGCAAGTTCGCCCGCAGGGAATTCTACCTCGCCGTCTTGATGGACCGTGGCTCCCAGGGCCCCGTCATTGTGTCCTCGTCGCAGGGTGGTATGGATATTGAGGGTGTCGCCAAGGAGAACCCCGAGGCCATTATCACCACCTACATTGACATCAACGTCGGTGTCACTGACGAGATCGCCCGCGACATCGCCACCAAGCTCGGCTTCAGCGAGCAGTGCATCGAGGACGCCAAGGACACTATCCAGAAGCTGTACAAGATCTTCCTCGAGAAGGATGCCACCCAGATCGAGATCAACCCCCTGTCCGAGACCTCGGACCACAAGGTCATGTGCATGGACGCCAAGTTTGGTTTCGATGACAACGCCGACTACCGCCAGAAGGAGGTCTTTGAGTGGCGCGACACCACCCAGGAGGACGCCGAGGAGGTTCGCGCTGCCGAGTCTGGCCTCAACTTCATCAAGCTCGACGGTGACATTGGCTGCCTGGTCAACGGTGCCGGTCTTGCCATGGCTACCATGGACATTATCAAGCTGAACGGTGGTCAGCCCGCCAACTTCTTGGATGTCGGTGGTGGTGCCACTCCCGCTGCCATCAAGGAGGCTTTCGAGCTCATCACCAGCGACCCCAAGGTCACTGCCATCTTTGTCAACATCTTTGGTGGTATCGTCCGATGTGACGCCATTGCCCAGGGTCTCATCAACACCGTCCAGAGCATGAACCTCAAGATCCCTATCATTGCCCGTCTGCAAGGTACCAACATGGAGCAGGCCCACAAGCTCATCAACGAGTCTGGCATGAAGATCTTCTCGATCGACGACCTCCAGAGCGCTGCTGAGAGATCAGTGCAGCTCTCCAAGGTTGTGAAGATGGGTAAGTTGCCTTTCGGCTTAGATTACAGACCTGACTGATGCTAACTTGACTGATAGCGCGTGAGATCGATGTTGGTGTTGAGTTCAGCTTGGGTATTTAAGGACGGGCAATAGAATGGGTAAACTGTACTAACTTTTTCAGACACGAGAACCTAGGATGTGTGATAGGACGAACTGTGCATTAGAATTGGGCGGTCAATGGTTGATTGCAATACATCCATTCGTGTGTATTTCCTTGCTGGTAGATGCATAATGATCATAACTGAATACCATTAAACATTCTTGAGTGACTTGATCTTTACTTTTCTCTCTTCACCAATGTTAGAGGGCAGGGCTTGGGCTTCCTCTACCCAACATGGCTAGTAAGTTTCAGTGAGAGGTGAATGAGAAGACAGAGTGAGATCACATCTAAAGCTTTGTGATTTGGTTGGTATTGACTTGCGAAACAGCTCAAAACTAGCAAATCATCTATTATCCCCGACAGCATTCCGAGATCGCCTCTTTCTCGGCACCAGAGCACAATACGTTCTCGTCCCATTTGAGACTGCCAGATCTAAACACCCATCTACTTCCAGATAAAACCATGTACGACGGCGAACAGGACGCCACCCAAAAGAACAGCCCACGAAATGTGAAGACAGTGGGGAAAGATCCAATCTATCACGGCCAGAGCGACCCCAAAATGATTCTGAGCAATGTGGAAAAGGTTGAGAATAGATGGGACAGGGTGCAAGAATCGTCTCGCTCCGGCAACGATCGTCTTGAAAGATGCTGGGGACTTTTGTGGGAGATATTCAGCTTCTTGATCTGAGCTTTTCTCGCTGATGGGAGCATCATTCTGCCGTCGTTGCTCTTCCTCATTCGTGTCTTTTGTCTGCGGCCCATCAACCACATTCCACCAATACTCTTGCGTCTCCTGCCAGCGCTTGTCCGTCTCTATGCTTTCGGCACGCCTTCTTGAGGAGGCTTTCTGGCGCGTATGACTGCCACAATATTGAACCACCACCCTTTGTGATGATGCAGAGGTCTTTGCCAGCAATGCGGGACGCACAAATGGGTAAAAAGGCCGTCTTGCAGGGTGATAGGCCAAGTCGCTCCAATACCGGACTTCGGGGTACTCGGGCCACTTGTTCATCTCCCAAGCTGACATTGGGTAGGGAGAAAGAGTCTCGGTGTTGGTCATGGTCGTGGCGAGAGTCGGTGAACTTTCTTGCTGTCAAAGTAGTTGCCTGAACTCCTGGCATACAAGTCGAGGTGGCAAGGCTCCTGGTATTTTCGCCGTTGACTATTCCCGAGGCCTGGATTGCAGACGTGCAGATGTAGTTGTTCATGATCGAAGGATGGTTATGAATTTGTGCATATTGAATAGCTTTCCAGTAGCATTAAGCTAACCGCCAGTTGCCTGTGAATTCTTCCCAGCGGAGACTCGTCCTTCATTCAATCAAATTTTAAAGCACAATAAGAATTAGCAAATTCAAGGAAATACATCTATCCATACTACTGTTTTTTTGCATTTCCCATAAGAGTGTGGATGGCGAGACGGATTTATTTCGAATGTGGTAGAACAGAGTATTCAGATTTTCTTCATTGACTATTCTTGATTGTATATAACTGCTTTCTGAAACCAAATGATCGTATGGCTGAAGACATCAATAAAGATTCGGAATTGTGGTCTTCAAAGAGCAGGAAATAATAAGAAATCTCAAATGAGCTTGGCCATCAGCGACAGTCAGTCTAGGTGGTGGTAGCTACTCTACACTCCCACCTTCTGTAGTCTGAATACTTGTATGTGGCAAAGATTCATCAGAGAAACCTTGATTCAAAATCATCAAGTAACTACAGAAACAGATAGTAATGTTTCATGCACCATTTAGGCAGAGCCGTTCTCTGGGACAACTTTTGGGGCTACATGCAGAGTCATTGCCACAATGTGCAGATTTCCGGGCACTCTTGGTTCTTCCTTTCACAACACCTCATAGCTCGAATATTCGAGGCTCTGGAGTATTACTCCCTGTGATGTTGCCTTCTGAGTCCTTCTTTGACACCAAGTAGCTAACCAAATGTCTACCGTGAATGTCTAGGAAGTATTGAGCCTTGCAATAAGGCCAACATGCTGTACGACCACAGCAGGAAGCAAAAAGCCGTGCATCAAAGTAACCCAACAATGAGCTGCCGCAAGGTTGCCAATTTGACAGAATCGATCTGCACAACATGGGGGTCGAATTGGGGTATCAATGGCAGCCAGCTACCAATCACCCCAATCATAGCTACGCGACACATTGAGCAAGACATAACCGACCCCACGATTCGGGATCTCAAAACTCCCCCATTGTAGATCTGCCGCGGCCGAACCCGTAGTTTTTTAATATGCAATCCAACTTTGATGCATATATTGAAGTCCCCCAAAACGCAACCATTCGCCAAAGTAATGCAGCCTCGAGTAATCGGGGGGCGCAAAGCCTTGCGCATCTCCATCATCGCGGCTCTCGTCTGACCACCCGTGATACTATTCTCACTTTCCCTACCAACAGTCCTCGTAGTCCTTCCCTTTTTCGCACTTCCTTTCGTGCGGCACGGACGTAACAAGGTATCGACAGAAAATGCATCGGCTGACTGGTGAGACATGACAGCCACAGCCCTGGGCAAACGGCGGGAACGGTCTTGGCAGCCCGAGTAACTGGAGCCAAGCCGCCTCGGTAACCCGTTTAGCTGAGATAGCGCATGCAAGCCGAGTTCTTGTGTAGTTGGCAGCGAAGCTTGGCCGCCATGGTCTAGATGCCAGTCCAGACGAGCGAGATTGGTGTTTCCCCCCGGATTTCCCTAGCATGGGGGGTGGTGCATGGGGTTCTGCGCTTACCTGGGGTAGATAAGAGACGGAGATTGTGATGAAAACAGAGAGAGAAAAGGAGGCACCCCGTGATACATGATGGCGTGCGCGCGTGAGAGTGAGCAAAGTCGCAGCCCGGCTGGGGGTTTATTTGCTTGGCCCCAGGGTCGTATCAAGGGTCCATGAGGCAAGAGCAATGCAATATACAAGAACCGCTGCGCCTGTCTTTTTCTTTGTTCCTTGACCTGCCTTCTCAGATCATCCAGGTTTAAAAAGGCTCAACGTTTTGACTTACTAGCCGAAGCTTGTTTCGTCGTTTGTTCTACTATTTCGACTCGTCCTAATAACTAGTGAAGCTGTGTTACTGATTTGGCTGTGACCATTGACAATAAACGACTGCTCAGACACTAGCATCTTACTCCTCTTCTTCTTCCTCCTCTCGATTACTCAAGCTACAAAGTCTTGAAATATCCAACATCTGCCCACCACACAAGTCCGTTTGCAATGTCGTCCAAGACTGAAATCCGTGCGTGGTGGCGTGCACAATTCCTCCAGCAGTCCACGGCATCTTCAGATTCGTCGAATGTTTGCCCGTGTGCAACCTGTTTCAACGACAATCGCCATGTCAAGGTAAGCTGATAGTCCATTGATGTTCTCCTTGTGGCTTATCCATTGACACTTGCTGTTCTAGTCACCTCCTACGGCAAGTCTGAGCGAGAATCCTCTCTCTAGACCGAAACTCGTCAGAATTGCACGTTATAGCACAGAGTCTGACCGCGTGCCATTATGTTCTGATGCCCAGTCGACACCGAGATGCAGTTGGACGAGGGATTAGAGAGCCCTGTTCCAGCTTGTGTTTGTACAGAAATAGTATGGCGAATGTTGACTTGAATAAACAGCCGTCAATCGAAAAGGAACGGCTGCATATGGGGCTTCAAAGGTGGGGGATTTCGAGATCGAGACCGAGACACCGGGACCTCCGTCAGTTATTTACCCCGTAGATACCGCGAAGGTTGATGCAGGTAAAACGCTAGACAGGGCTGAAACCTTCTAGATTTTCTCAAAGAAAAAGAAAAACAAGAAACAAACCGGGTTCGGTTTCTGGGAAACCGAGACGGTTATTTCACCACAAGTTCAACCCACCAGTGACTGTCCAGCAGTGGTAACGGCCCCTGTGCCCCACCATCCAGACCCCAGAAATTGCCCCGGCCCCGTTACACACGGCAGAGTAACGTCATCAGTGGAGTGGGTTGATCACCTAAAATAAACCCAAATTCATTTACTTTGGCTCCTATTGTCCGAAGTTCTCGTGATCCAAATTGAGCGCATAACTGCAAAAATCAGACAGCGTGATTGGACCTGCTGGAAAGCGGACTTTTCATTGCATTGACAGGTGATTGGACGGCCGGCAATCTTGTCGCTACTTCACTGATCTCAATCTGGAACAGTGATAGTAGTGCAAGTATAGGCGTGCTGCCGACTGGCTTTGATTTGGATAATCACTCTCACAGGCGCAATGGCTCCAAGTGTGGACTCTGCCATCCTCGAGGCCTTGGGTCTCGACCCAACAGCGACCAAGATTGGGTCACATGGAGGCAGTGGATTTGCTTCGACGTTCAAGATCTCCTCGACAGCTGATGGAAAAGACACGAACTACTTTGTCAAGACCGGATCAGGGCCAGATGCGGAAATCATGTTTCAAGGTGGGTATGCGTTCAAACCTCGCTCGATGCTCTTGCTCAACTGGCACACGCAGGCGAGCACGCATCGCTCAATGCCATTGCCGACGCTGTGCCCAATTTTTGTCCACGATCCTACGCCCATGGTGCCATGAGAGACTCTGCAGGCAAGTTCTTCATGGTCACTGACTTTCTTGAGCTTGGATCTTCTGCACCTGGAGGCTCTGGCGAGTCACTGGCAAAGAAGCTTGCCAAGCTACACACGACAACGGCACCGATTCCCGAAGGTCATGACAGACCCATGTTTGGTTTCCCAGTCACTACCTGTTGTGGTGAGACTCCCCAAGACAACTCTTGGACCGAGTCGTGGGCCGACTTTTATGCCAACAATCGGCTGCGAAGCATAGTACAAAGAGGAATCAAGTCAAACGGGCCCGACGCTGAGCTGAGCAACGCCGTCGAGAGGACCGCAAGCCAAGTGGTTCCTAGATTATTGGGGGACGATAATCTCAAAGATGTCAAGCCAGTCGTGATCCACGGCGACCTGTGGAGTGGGAACCACGGTCGCGGGAGGATTGCAGGGCAAGGCGGCTCGGAGGAAGTTGTTTACGACCCTTCCGCTGTCTATGGCCACTCTGAGTATGAGTTGGGCATCATGAGAATGTTTGGTGGGTTTGGCAGCAGCTTTTTCAAGGAATATGAGAGTCTGGTACCGAAATTGGAGCCGAAAGATGAGTGGGAAGACAGAGTGGCGCTTTACGAACTGTAAGTTGCTTTTACTAATGGCGCAATGAGAAGACGGCTACTGATGACGTTGCAGATATCACCACCTCAACCATTGGGCCATGTTTGGTGGAGGGTACAAGAGCGGTGCAATGAGCATCATGAAGAGACTAATTTCTAAGTATGGTTGAGATTTGATAGTTTGGAGGTGTACACTGTTCATATGGTCATCAGATTCTGGAGATTAGTATAGTGACGATGGACTTTAATATACGCAGATACATGTTGACGTTGAGGTTTTATATTAAAGAAAAGATTTACAGTAAAATGTAATGAAACTATGACCCAATCTTCAGACCACAACATTCTCCATAACAATTTCGAAGGGCAACTTCATGCAGACCAAGGCGCATTCTCAAGTCATTGAGAGGAGAGAAAAATAGAAAAAAAAAAAATAAGAAAAGCTGGAAAAATGAATGGACGAAAAAATGTCAGCACCGATGGCTGTCTTATGTGAAAGAAGCGGCCGACTCCGTGATGAGTGGGTCCTAAAACCGCAAGTGTCACCCGGTTTTGCCTCAGACCGGCGCCAAAGTCGGCCGGCAATCTACAATACTCACGTGCCCGCAGCAAAGGTCCCAGCGTACACCCCAACCCCCGAGTCTGTGATATTCTTTTGTTTTTGGACACTATCGCGAGACCTACCCAGGGTCACTAGCGTCGTAGCAGCGCCGAGCAATCTTGCCAGAGACCGTCATGACAGACCAAAAGGCCGTTCTGGTGGGGATCAGCGGGGCTTCGTCGAGCGGCAAGACGACCCTCGCTCGCCTGCTTCGTGACATTTTCCCCAGCACTTTTATCCTACACGAGGATGATTTTTATAAGCCCGAGTCCGAGTAGGTCGCATCATCACTGAGCAAATGGTATTGAGTATCCAAGATGGCGCATATTCTGACTCACTTTTACAGGCTACCGACCCGGGATGGTCTGCTAGACTGGGATTGCGCCGAGGCCATCTCGATCCCAGACATGATCAAGGCTCTCAAGCACATTCGTACCGAGGGGACATTTCCGGTCAGTCAGCACCAAATTCAGTTCCTGGGCTGTTTGAGCGCAGGTCCCAACGAGCCAGGGTCTTTCCACAAACGTTTATCGGACGCACTTTCCAAGTGACAACGGGCTAACCATCTTGACTCTCAACAGCCCTTTGTGGACTCCAAGGAGGACCAAAATTCGGTCGGCAAGTGTCCTGTATCAGACACCAAGATTGCCGAGATGAAGAGCCGGGTGGAGGCGTGGACGCAGCCGGGCCAGCCGGGCCACGACCTGCTCGTCGGGGGCGCCGGCATCAAGGTCTGCCTGCTGGACGGGTTCCTGCTGTACTCGGCCGAGATGGCGGGCGTCATGGACCTGCTCGACGTGAAGCTGTTCCTGCTGGTGAGCCGGGACAAGGCGACGCAGCGCCGCGCCGCCCGCGACGGCTACGTGACCCTGGAAGGGTTCTGGGCCGACCCGCCCGGATACGTGGACAAGATTGTCTGGCCCAACTATGCCGAGGCCCATGCTTGGCTGTTTGAGGGTGGCAATGTCGAGGGCAAGCTCAGGATGGATCTTCTGGCGGACAAGGGCATATTGGCGCAGTCGAGCGCGGGCCTCGACGTGGATATGGAGACGTCATTCGAATGGGCCGTGGAGGCTTTGATGAGAGAACTGGAATCAATCGGGAAGAAGGTAGCGACTGGATAGAACTTTGGCCGTGACGGATAGCAAACTTGATTAGAGGCAGAAACGATTTTATACATCAAAGGCGATATGAGGCAAATATGTTTCACGGAAACTACATCTTAAAAGTTCTTGGATTGTTTACAGCAATGCAAATATTGATCGTACAGGAGCAAGCAAAAGTCCAGCACAACACAAGAAATTTCCTCGGTGTATCGTCACCCCAACACAAGAAAGAATGTTGTTTGAAAATAACCCCAAGCAGTAATGAACCTCTTGCCAATTTATGTATGATGCACCAAGCCTTAGAAAATCGTAACTCATCAACGACTCAAAACTTGCCAAACCCTTGGCACCACTCATCGCCACGTGTCTGACACGGTCTGCGTGCCTGCACAGCTGGCCGTGATGGTCAAGCTGCGGTTGGGGTCAGACTCCCAAGTCACGGTTCCGCTGCTGCTGACTACAATGTACTTGTACGAGATGGTCTGGCCGGCAGCGAGGGTGACAGTACCCTTCCAGAGCGGGTTGGACGATGTGTACGAAGAGGCCGAAAGAGCAATGGCCGAAGCCGGTGCCCAGCTGCCGAGTGCCGAGATGCTACCAACAACCTTGACGGTGTCTCCATAGGTGGTTGTCTTCAAGACGTTGAAAGTGACTGCGATATTGGTCGCCGTGGCACAGGATGTCGCCGTTGTGGTCGTCGACGTAGATGTGGTGGTCTTGGTAGTGGTCGTGGGCTTAACGGTTGTGGTGCCAGAGCCGCCGCTGGGTGTTTGACCAGCAGGGAACGAAGCTGGAGTGGCGGCAGAATAGCTACCACCAATGGAAGTAGCATAGCAAGAGCTTGGGATCGATGTTGCGAGCTTGTTAGAATCGGCCCAGCTACCCGGGACGGTGCCGGCACGACGGGCGGCGGCAGTGAGGAGCGCGGCATACGACCAAGTCAAGTCCCGGGCTGACAAGGGAACACCCGTGTTTCGGTCATATTGCTCCGCCAGTGACCCGTTGCTCATCGCATATGTAGCAACATTGTCGACGAAGCCATCGGCATATGCGAGGACAGCATTGTAGAGAGTCGTGTAAGTGCTCGAGCCAGAAGCATAGGTGCCAGCAGCGACCGAGGAGGAAAGATCCTTGAAGAAGTTGAGCGAGACCGAGGTAACAGTGATCGAGCCTTGCTGGTCCCACACATAGAGGGCATTGTAGAGTTGCTCGGCTGCAGCGAGGGTGTTCAAATACCATCTTAGAATTTGTTACGTTAGACTCTCCTCATTTGTTGATCTTAACTTTCATGATAACTTACGGGTTGCCATTGTAATAGCTGTCCTCGGCATAACGTCCACAGGCAGCAGCTGTTCCAGCGGCCTTTCCAGAGTTGATGGTGTAGATGGAGCGGAATGAATCCACAAATAGCTTGTGGTTGGACAGGGCTCTGTCACTGCAGGGCTGGAATGAATTGGCATCACAACCGAGGCTGGGGTCAAAACCCGAGTTGGAGCTCAATACAGAATTGGCGTCTTTGCCTGTTCTGCCATTGTTAACATTGATGTTGGAGTTGATGTAGCCGCCAGATGTCCAGAAGGATTGCTGGAAGCAGAGAATCTGCGGCGCAATGGCATCACAGTAGGAGCAAGAGTCGCCCACGAGAGCGGCAAAGTTGCTGCCCTCGACCAAAGCTCTGTGCTGAGCGGCGATGGTGAAGAAAGAGCTTCCTTGTACCTGATGATAGTTAGTTGCTGAGCTTGAATTTGTGGAATTCCAAATTGAAATCAGCAGAGGTATTCAAAACACGTACTTCTTCCCAGAGGTCAAAACCGGTCTGGTTCCAGTACTGCGCAACATAGTGGAGATCGTTACGGATGATGGGCCAAACGACGCTGGTAGCGGTTGACGTGTATCCGTTGTTGACAAGCCACTTGCCATAAGTGATTAGGGCAGTGGCACGAAGTGCTGGGCCGTCTCGTTGCGGACGTCCCCATGCCCCAGTGAATGCACTGAAGTCTGTGTTGAACTTGGGTTCACCCAGGCCGGAGCCATCTGACAGAGAACCAGACGGGTTCGAAACTGTCTGGAGTTGAGCCTGCCCAGTAATGTCTACAAAAGTTCAGTTTAATGCTCTGTTTTACGAAAAAGTCCCATCAGAAGCCCATGAGACTAGAACCCTCAAAAGAACTGTTTGACCCGAGTCGCGTCATCACTCACAGTTGGTAATCTCGGTTTGAAGATCGGCATCATAGTTCTCGACAAATCTGTCAATAAGAGCCTTGAATGTCAAAGCAGCATCTCTTGTCCAATGATAGTAGTCTGTGAAACACGTTAACGATATCCCAGAAAGCTCACAAACAGTACGTACAATCAGGATTAGACTGGGAAGGAGACGCGAGGACGAGGCCGGAACCAACTCCAGAGGCGTGACACCCGCTGGGACCAACATTGCACAGGATTTGTGCGTATGCGATTGGCTCTTCGGTAGCAATGAAGCTATCAACATCTCTCTTCAGTACATCGGACTTGCGCTTGAAACGGGCCGCCTCGGGATCCGGACGGCCAAAGACAGCCTGAGCAGCATAGCCGCCTAGGAGAAGAAGGGAACTTAGGGCATGCATTGTAGGAAGAGCGAATGACGTGGAATTGCTCACGAGTGAGGAAGAGATCTGCGCAACTTCCATCTGAGGTTATATACACGAGACTTCCCACGTGGGCGTCCCGATTTGTGCTACTATAGAATATCCTCGGTTCCTGCCGGTTGGCTCGCCTAGAACACCACAGGCCTCCGGGCCTGATATTGCGGTGTCAAAGGGCCGATTCAACGCCTTGGGATGAGCAGACTACTGCCCCAAGAAAGTGGATGCCCAGACTCTAGATCACCGTATCGGGCACCTTGAAAGGCCGTATCCGGCCTTGGAGTCTGGTTAAGCGAGATATAAACTCTAGTCTGGTGACGTTGCTGGACCCGGAGGACGTAAATGTAGACCCTGTGAACACCACTGCCTGTGAAAATAAGTCTCATTCAGGGCCTGGAGATCAGGGTCAGACTTGGTAGGCCAACGTGCCTAGACGAGTGTGAATCGGGCCGCTTCAGGCAGTAGTTCAAGTGTATAGTACATGCAGGCGGGCAATGCAGGAAAAGGGAAGCAGCTCCGTGAGGTTGTGGAGTGCATCGTCTGGGGTTGTGTGACGTGAACAGCTGGAGAAGAGTACGGAGGGCATATGGTGGCTTGCGGGGAATCCCAGTTGGGGAACCGTCCCCCGCAATCTTTAATGGGAGGAGCCCCCAAAATACCTTAACTTTTAGGGGGCTTTTTTGCCAGGAACAGGAGTCGTGCAGTACCGAGTACTGTCAACAGATCAGACTGATATCATCAGAAATTGACTGGGATTTTATAGAAGAGTGATTGACTTGGGTTTCAGACTGGCAAACAGCTGCGAGGTGAAAGTCGATTCCAGAACTCTTACCAATTTTATTCCGTGGAAAATTGCCCGTATACTTGGGAACTCGCCCAGGGCCTACCCCAAAAGAACAAACGGCAGAACTCCGACAACTACCTACGTAGACTGGGAAAAACTCCGACGGCTATAGCATCACCAGTATAGATGTGGGACGACGAGCAAGTTTAGCTCGAACCATATTCTATCACCAGCCTAGACTGTTCGTGGAAAGGATATCGCCCGGATTCGGCGTGAACCGACTTGACTAGGATGGCATCAAGAGACCGCTTAGAAGATACATCAATTTCCATGTCTTGAGAATCGCCAGACTATGAGCGCGATGCTGAGCACATGCTGCCCGAAATTGGAGACAGCGGTGCCTCCTATCGCAATAGGACTAGTAAGCAATGTAGAGGCGCGGAATAATCATGCTGTTCAGTGTTGACAAATGCTTGTTGTTCTTCAAGCGGGAGCCATACTTTATTGTGTGACAGGTACGGATATTCAAGGGTTTCTGCATCTCGCGCCATCGTGGGGCTAATGGTCAAAATTTGGCCAAGAATCGACACAATCAATGGCATGTGATGGGACGAGGATTTTGGCGGTACGTAATCTATACAGAGTATTGGTATTGACCCGTGGACTTGGAATGGATGCAAACCGACACTGTCAACGTGCCAAGGTCACTCTGAATACAACAGAACGCGCAATTCAATGACGGATGCTTCCCAATACATGCCACGAGAGATGCGAGGCAAAGACGAACTCTTACTTGTCTTGGCAAGGACAAAAATAGAGCGGCGGCGACAGGAACAATAGCAGCAGCAGCATGAGCACCGAATGTCTCGCGAGCTGTCACAGAGGACTGGGTAGCATTTTCGGGCGGACAGCGGGGCGCCTCGGTCCTTCTTGGCAAACGGCCGTGAGGCTGCTCCGACATTTAATCACGATGCCTTGAAATATCGCTATTCAAGTGACGATTTCTGCAGAATATCCCACCAGTCAGCGCGTGTAGACATTGCGCTTGGCATGGATGAATGATAAAGTGGAAAGCCTGTGGATGCATGGACGCGTCAAATCCAAGTTTGATAGCAGTAACGCGCCAGCACTAAAAATGGCCAAAGGGAGAAGAAAAAAATTTCAGTCACGGCTCGCAAAATCGACCACAGAAAGTAGGTCGGCCCAAGAGCAGATCTTGGACATCTGAGGATCCTATCTAGAGAATATTGAAATGTAGGCTAGTTATGGTTATTCTGAGCCTCAACGATGAATCATCTCGGCAAACAGAGGTGGAATATAACGCCCGTGCCTGGCCACCATTCTCAAAGCTTTTTACGGCCGAAAATGCATGGTATCAGACGACTTGTTCTGGGATGCTGTGAATAGGATGAACGTCACGTAAAAGGAGGACGGTTCCATGAGTTATTCAGCTGCCGTGGTCATCAACTCTGAACCCGCGTGAGCAGGCAGAGGACGTCCAGGCACAGCTCCTGTGATGTGTGAAGAGAAAGGAAAAATGTGAAGCTCAAAATTTTGGGAGCAGACCTTTTTGCTTGCAGAGAATTAGTGGGGCCATGTCATGACTAAGCTGGCTCCGCTCGCCTGCAAAATTTACTGCCGGCGCTGCCTAGGCGGCAAGTGGTTGGGTGGGTGCCGCGAAAGCTTGCCAGGTGTCGGCCGCGCTAGCCGGGCAGTCTCTTACCTAAGCAAGCGCCCCGAGAATGCATGGAACTCTTATCGCGACTGATTGTGTCGATGGTTCCAGCTTAAGCTGCCTGTCTGCCTCGCTCGCATCTCGTCATCGGCCTTTTCACCCAACCACTTTACCTATCAGTTAGACCACGATCCAGCGCAGACAACATGGACGCGGCTACGATTGCAGAGATCAACAAAACCCGCATTGCGGCGGGCATGCAGCCACTGCCCGTACCCGGCCAAGAAGGTCCCCAATTCAAAGAGAAGGCTGCTTCAGATGGCGAGGAAGAGGAAGCGGCCAGCACCCTGGAAACGCGAGAGGCTGCTGCCTATGACAACTTCAAGAAGATTCAGGAAGCCGAAGATGCCAAGAAGCGACGCGAGGAGAAGAATGCAGCCATCAGAAGGGCGCGAGATGCCGCAAAGCGATTCGAAAACCTGGAGGGCAAGGGCCTGGGCGAGGCGGAAGGCGACGACCTCGATGCCAAAGCATGGCTCATCAATCAGAAAAAACGACAAAAGCGGATAGAAAAGGCGCGCAAGCTTGAAGAGGAAATGGCTGCTGCTGAGGCCGCTGCCGCTGCTGCAGTTCAGTACACGTCCAAGGATTTAGCAGGAGTCAAAGTCTCTCACGAGATTTCTGCTTTTGAAGATGGCGACGAACAAATTCTCACTCTGAAAGACTCCAATATTGTTGGAGGTGAAGATGATGACGACGAGCTCGAGAACATTGACCTGCGCAACCGCGAAAAGCTTCAAGAAAACCTTGAACTGAAGAAGAAAAAGCCGGTATACGACCCGAACGCAGTGAATGAAGATGGCGAACGCAGTATTCTTGCACAGTACGACGAAGAGATCAGTGGCAAGAAGACAAAAAGATTCACTTTGGGCGACCAGATCGCCGAGCAGAATGCTCAACCCAGCGCATCTGGTGAAGCGTCACAGAATCGCAATGCCAAGAAAATCAACCTGGATCTCTTCACGGACGAAAAACCGTCTTCTGATTACTTGGATATTTCAGAGATCAAGGTGAAGAAGCCAAAAAAGAAGAAGTCCAAAGTCACCCGTCAGCGCGCAGCGGATGATGACGACGTTTTGCTTCCTGATACTACTCTTCCAGATGACTCCATGGATGTCGACTCGGGTGCTGCATTCGTGAGCAGGAAACGAAAGACCGAGGAGACAACATTTGCAGATGACGAAGACCTTCAAGCCACGCTTGCTATCCAGAGACGGGATGCATTGAAGAAGCGGAAACGGACCCGCCCCGAGGATATTGCCCGCCAGCTCAAAGAGGAAGCGCAAACACCAGAAGCAGAGAGCAACACCCCTGAAGCTGGTGGCGCTGGTCTTGTAATTGATGAGATTTCCGAATTTGTCTCGGGCTTGAAGAAGGAAGACTTGGAAGAACGCAAGCCTCGCACCTCCAAGACACCCAACCCAGAGATGGTCACCGCCATGGAAGATGAGTCGGATGATGACGATGAGCCCATGCGGGACGCTGACGATGCCGAGCATGAAGCCCGCACAAGAGAAACTTCGACCCCAGCAGATCTTGGTACAACTGGTGTCGACGAAGAGAAATCCATTGGAGTGGGCATTGGCTCAGCACTGCAATTGCTACGTGAACGCAAGGTCATCAGGGAAAGTGGTGCGGACGAGCTGAACGAAACCTATCGGCACCAACAGGCGTTCCTGGCAGAGAAACGAAAACGCGAGGCTGCAATCGACCAGAACACTCGTCTTCAGCGTGAGCGTGACCGTGCAAGCGGCAAACTCGACAGAATGTCAGTACGCGAAAGGGAAGACTGGGCTCGTCGCCAGAATGAGATGCGGGACCAGCAGACATCCCGCCAAATGGCAGAGTTATACAACCGCGAGTACAAGCCAAACGTCCAGCTCAAGTACGTTGACGAGCACGGTAGATCGTTGGATCAGAAGGACGCTTTCCGGCAACTCTCGCACCAGTTCCACGGCAAGGGCAGCTCAAAGGGCAAGATGGATAAGCGCCTGAAGAAGATTGAAGATGAGAAACGCCGCGAATCGCAGAGCATCTTGGATTCGAGCCAGAACGCAAACATGAGCTCTGCAACCGCTCAACAGACCAAGAAACGAAGAGAAGCTGGTGTACGCCTGGCCTAGAGAGACAGAAACCCGTTGGTAAAGGTGCATATCCCTCGACTACTGTATCATTTAGATGATTTAATCAACGCTGACACAAGCTGTGAAGTTTCCTTGCTCCCTGTGCCGGCCACTGTATGACCCACAACGGTTCTCATCTTTGGAACATTGCATGATCCCAAGTATGAAGCCACACTGTTGATGTTTCATACTTACCTTCCTCGGTGATTTTCCTGATACATATTTGCCTACTGACAAGAATAAGATGGCTTCAAGTGAAGTGTCTATTTGTAGTTTTGCATGACATGCTGTAGTTCCTGACCACGCAAAGTATTATGTAATATCCAGATCCGAGAAAACCAAAGGTAATAGATCCCTTCTAGCCACCGATTAGTCGAATAATACCCAATCGAGTCAGCTCTTTTAATGAAACCGTCCTCACCGTTTTTATTGCGAGAGTACTAGTGAATCAAAGGCGAGGACAAGAGCATATGAAGCTGGCTTCATGGGCGAATTTTCGGCCTGCTCAAGAAATTGTGCCACTCTATATGCTGGAGTCATTGTGTGCTGTGTCTGATTCAAGTTTTCACATCTTATTTATTAATCTTTGCACCAACACGGCTAATGGGGAACCAATGGGCAGCCCCGGGCTGCACATACAAGTCAGACTGTCCTAGACATACTTTGTAACCATGCGGAAAAGTGTAGGAAAAGTGGCGGGACAGAACATAGTGTGTGCCTGCAGCATGTTGTCATGACCCACTGCGGTAGTGGGCACGCTACTGCAGGTGAGGCGATCACCACACCATTTGCTCGCTTTAATTTCTCTGTGCAACTGTGATCAGCCCTCTCGGGCGAGTCACCGGAAGCTCTGGAGAGGTTGGGGAATCTTTGGGGTAGCTTGGCACCGGATCGCGGGGAACTCTACCCCGGTCTGCGGGGGATTATAAGAAAGTTTGCCGGTCTGCAGCAAAGGCGACGATGAAGAGATTTTAATCCTATAAGCAATATTTTTTTTATTGTTGCAGAGGAGTTGAGAGATTTCCGAAATGGTTGTCTTGAACGCTGCCGCGACAGTCTTGTCGCTGTGTGTGGGCTCGGCATGGAGCCTTGCCGTGGAGAGAGATTATACAGAGCAATCCCAGTGTAAGTGATGACCAGTCTTTTAATGTAATTCCGTCTTTGTTACTCATCACGCTATCAGGGATAACGGTTGGCGATGGCCCATCCTTTTCCCTCTCTTCTGGCAACGTTTCATACCAATTTCATGTCGACAATGCCACATTGGATCTCGTTCATGACCACTGGGGCGCCTATGCTGCCGAGACCGTACCCGACTACTACGGCAACCAAGGCGGCTGGGGAGGCACATACACTTATCGCCGTCGCGAGTTTCCCGATCTTGGACGAGGTGACTTTAGAGTTCCTGCAATTCATATTGAACACGCCGACGGCAACACGGTGTCGGCCTTTTCTTATACAGGCTACGACATAAGCTCGGGAAAGCCATCACTTCCTGGGCTTCCCGCGACCTTTGGCAGCGATGGAGATGTCTCTACACTTACAATTCACATGTTCGACAACTATTCGGCCATTGCCGCGGATCTACACTATTCCATTTTCCCCCAATTTGGAGCCATTGCTCGTAGCTTTCAGGTGACAAATCAGGGTAATCAAAGTGTCTCAATTTTGCGCGCCAGCAGCTGGAGTATCGACATGCCAAACCAAGAGCTTGAGATGCTTGACCTCCATGGCGATTGGGGAGCAGAAAACCACATCAACAGGCGACCTGTTGTGTATGGCGAGCAAGGCTTTCGCTCTACTGCTGGCTATTCTTCACATTTCCACAATCCTTTCCTCGCTTTGGCCCCACCTGACACGACCGAGTTCACTGGGCCTGCAACCGGTTATTCACTGATCTACACTGGCTCATTTGCAGCTGATGTCGAACGCTGGTCGACTGGATGGGTCCGAGTACTGCTTGGTTTGAACCCCCTTCATCTGTCTTGGCCCCTCGGCCCAGGAGAAACTTTCACATCGCCCGAGGTTGTTTCTGTATACTCTGAGCAGGGTCTCGGCGGCATGTCCCGAGGATTCCACTCTTTATACAGGAATCACTTGGCCAGATCTAATCTCACTCACGAGACCCGACCTCCGCTGTTGAATTCCTGGGAAGGCCTCGGTGCAAACATTAATGAGACTGCCATGGTCAAATTAGCTTCAGAAGCTGCTGGCCTTGGCTGCAGTCTCATTGTAATGGACGACGGCTGGTTTGGTACAGACTTTCCGAGAGACAATGACAGTCTCGGCCTCGGTGATTGGACGCCAGACCCTCGAAAATTCCCTGATGGCTTGGGACCGTTTGTCGATGAGGTGACCAACATTACTGTCAATTCCACGACAGGATCCAGCGGCTCCGATAAGCTGATTTTCGGTATCTGGGTCGAGCCTGAGATGGTAAACCCCGAATCAGACCTCTACCTGGAACACCCAGACTGGGTCATGTCCGCAGGAGACCACCAACGCACGCTTGTGCGTAACCAACTTGTTCTCAACGTTGGACTTCCCGAGGTACAGGATTACATCATCAGCGTCATCGAAAAGGTGCTGGACTCTGCGCCTATTAGCTACGTAAAATGGGACAATAACCGCGGAATGCACGAGATGCCTTCTCCTTCTGCGGACCACGCTTACATGCTTGGACTGTATCGAGTTATAGACAACCTCACCACGGCACACCCGGAGATCCTCTGGGAGGGTTGTGCTTCCGGAGGTGGCCGTTTCGATCCTGGACTCTACCACTACTGGCCACAGACTTGGACCAGCGACGACTCGGATGGTTTGGAGCGGCTGTACATTCAGTTTGGCACCTCGTACCCATATCCTCCTTCCGCCATGGCCTGTCACGTCAGCAACGTGCCCAACCAACAGACTGGACGCACAACGCCTCTCGCATTCCGCGCCGCTGTCGCGTCCATGTGTGGATCTTTTGGGTTCGAGCTCGACCCCGAGGAGCTCGATGCCGCTGACACGGAAGCTATTCCGGGCATCATCGAGAGACAGCAGCAGATCAACCCGATTGTGATTAATGGCGACTTTTACAGGCTCGCACTACCAGACCAATCTAACTGGCCTGCCGCCATGTTTGTCTATCCAGACGCCAGCTCGGCGGTGCTGTTTGCCTTCCAGGTCCGCTCGACAATCAAGCCACTCCCAAATTTGCTCAAACTCAAGGGACTAGACCCAACTGCCAAATATACTGTGGGCAATGGCACGACGAGCGAGACTTGGTCTGGATCGACGCTCATGAATATTGGATTGAGCTTGCAGTGGCCCAACGAAGATTATCAGTCATTTGTCTTGTTTGTGGACAAGCAGTAGAAATTTGACTGCAGATAGACGTAAACAAAATTGAAATGAAGAATTATCGAATCCTGAGTGTTTGTTTTCCGATTATTTCAAAACCACCACATGATTGGCAAGACAATTGTGCGCAGGTTGCACCATAATGCTGGCTATCACAGCCACAAGTGCTTTAAAGACTTATTCTTGTTTTGTACAATTTTTCAGGCGTATGCCTTTTGCGCCTTGGATTTTATGCCGTCAGCCCTGCCAAAGGTGATCATCTCCAAGTTCAAGGCGATCCCAGATCTACAGCGAGGGCACTGAGGGGCGCCGTAGTGGGGCCGCCCCAATCCAGGGCTCGAGCAAGTAACCAAGCACCTGTAATCTTTACTCGCTCTGACACGACAGGGCCAGCGCAGCTTTGTTCTTGTCACTTTAATTTTGACGCTTGCTTATTACTTTCCAAGTCATTTTGAAACTCAATCACACAAGGTCACTTTTTATTATCAGGCGGCAGTGCATCTTCTAGAACCTCATTTTGCTCAACGAGTCTCACAGCCCAAAGCACTAGCCAAGCAAAGGTTGACGCAACTAGCCCCAGGTTCTCGTTGGGCTGCGCCTCCCGGACAGTCGGCGTACATAAAGAAGCCGATCAGCATCTGCTTTATCAACCAGAGTCTTCCGGCAGGAATACGCACAGCTCTCAGTAATCATTCACGTGAGATCAAAACCACAAAATACATCACCATGAGGCGTTCGGAAGAAGCACATGCTGCTGAGGCACACGACGATGATCCTCCGCCGCCATACTATTCGGCAGATGAGGGTGCGGCACCGCCCCTGCCCGCCAGGCCCGGCGCGCCCGTCGTCGGCGACACCAAGAACAATCCATTCCTGTCCACAGACCTACCGGCCTCTTCCAGCAGGTCCAGCAGGTCGCCGCCCGCGTCGGCCTCGAGCGGGCGGCCCAAGATGCCAACGCCAGTAAGGCCGACGGGCAAATTCCCCGCCGATCTCAACATGTACTACCAAAAAGCGGTCGGCAACCCGACATTTAATCTTGGCGAGTCAGAAGACCGGCCGCACCTCTGCGTCACCTTTCACAGCAGTCTGACCTTTTCTGGCAACCCGTACTTTCTGCTACACTCGACGGCAAGCCCGGACTCGCCGCCCCTGGCGATAGCCGAAAAAGCCGGCCGTCTGGGTCAGCGCGCCGAGATCAAACTCCCGGCCGTGACGGGACCCGATGAGGGGCCCGATGCCGAGGACGTCGAGACCGAGGAGATGAAGGCGCACGCCAGTCTGACCTCGGTGTCGTACACGTTTAGCGTGGAAACGGCGCCTGGCCGGCGCGAAAAGTTCGAGTGGCGCGCGTCCAAGGGCAACGAGGTCAAGGCCCTGGTGGACGGCAAAGCTCACCACGGTGGCGGACGCAAGTTGGTGCGTCTCGCGACCGAGGCTGACGGCGTGGGTGGCACGCGCGCGGTGCGGGACCAGGGCGCCTCGAGCGATGGGCGCGAGGTTGTGGCGGTTTGGGCTGACAATCCCAAGTGGAGCGGCAACAAGGCGGGCGCCCTGAGGTTCTTGGGAAGTGGTGCGTCGGGTGCGCTGGGTGGGCGTTTTGCCGTCATGACGATTGCCACCTCGATTAGGATTTGGGAAATGATGAATGAGACGAGCTTACAGAGCGCCGCTACGGGATCGCTTGGAGCTGGTAATAGCGAGTGAGGTCAAGAGCTCGAATAGATGATAAACAAGCAAACAAACAAACAAAGTAAAAATTGAAGAAGTGATATCCATCGCCAATCGCCTTGTTAGAGCGAGAGCACTATGGTTCCATACTTCGCAAGTAAAAGCTAAAAACATAATTCATTTGGAAGACTGCTATGATTTGTTCTTGGATTAGTGAAAGAATCGAGTCAAGCTTAAGAGCATGTCGCAAAACAAGAATACGCCGAAAACCCGAGATGCCAGTATTGTATATATTTACAGTATATAGTAGTTATGTGTGTTGGCTCGTTATGCCGACTTACCTTTCGTATGATCAAATTGTCCACTCATCCACTAACCTTGTTCAGAGAACTTATCAAAAGTTCCACGCCATCAACTATTCTACCATCATGAGTTTCTTGCCGAATCAGGAGCTGTTTCTACGCCGGTACCCCTTGAAAATTTTACATTCGTAGAATGCGACCAGGGTCGTTTTCGCAGCGCCGCTGTTGTGACTCCCACGCTGGTAGTTCCTGGTCAATCGCGCCGTACAGATAGCTCATCATCTCATCGGCTGAAGAGGCTCCCTTGCTGCCTTTATCATCGATCTTTTTCCTGTTTTCTTCAATCACCGAAATCAGACACGGGTTGAGGTCGGCAAGGGTTCCATCAATCCTGCCATTGACGTAAGCACTCTTGAGTCTTTCCTCATTGAACTCTTGCTTACCGTGATCAACATTCACATTTCCTCGATGGAAAGTATTAAGATGACGTCTCATTTCGGCACCCGTACCCTCTTCGCCGTCTTCTTGGTCTTCAAAATCCGAAAAGCTTACCTGATCCCACCAATCTGGCATGACACTGTTGTGCAGTGGAGAGCGGCGACGAATGGCAAGGGGGAGGCAGGGAAGCGCCTTTTCCGTATAGGCAAACCAGTCGTCACAGTCTCCCACATCATTGGCCCGGCGGTCGAGCATGATATCCGCGTAGTCGCAGGAACTTGCGTGCAGGCGCTCGGCACTCACACGCTCGCGGATCTTGCGGCGAGACCTGGGCTGCTGCCGAGGCTCTGGAGGGCAGTAGTCGGGGGTCTTGGGCTGCTGCTGGGGCGTGGCAGGTCGCGAGCCGTCGGATGAGCTGAACGAGGAAGTTGAAAATGGAGAGGAAGCAGAAGACGATGCTGCGGCGACACGCGCCTTGATCATGACTAGGCGGTCGCGGAGAGGGATTCGCTGCTCGCCAGTGAGCATGGTCCGTTGATGCGATGAATTCGAGTCTTGAGGGCTGCTCGGACCTGCCGACCCTGCCGACTCCTCGAACCGCTGTCTTAGAGAAGTAACGCGCTCATTACCGCGCTGTCGCCCCCGAAACCGGTCGAGACTCTGGCCAGACATTGCGATTTGATTTTGTAAGTAAAAGGCGCTTCTGCGGAGGTTTAAGGATTGTGCGTGGAACGATCCAACACGCAGGATTATATACTGTTTTTGTTTGTACTTTTCTATACTGGAAGAGCTTCCAGTCAATCAAATCAGACTTCTTACGTTGCATTTATGTCTGCCACGAGTTCTTTGAATTGCAAAGACATTGTCACCAAAATGCGTTACTTTTTTTTGCGCACAATACCATTCAGAGTTGAAAGAACCTCTTTGTCCTATTGTATGTCTCTCATTCACTATTGTCCACGGCGTGTTCTTTGACGCTGCGAGTTGGTAATTCACAGATTCCAGTTCAGAATGTCTGGATCATCAAAGACACAAGGATACTGACAGCCTACCGACCAAGAGACGCATATTACCAAGCAAATACCAATGTATCACCAACTTATTGGTGTGATGCCATAGTAAGATCATTCTCGTCTTTGATTCTGGGCAGTGTCTCTGTCATGGTGGTCGCAGATTTTCGAAATCTTATGCGTGCTTTGTGTTTGTGTCATGGTGAACCATTTCATTGTTCGAGTTTATCAATGGGATCAGTTGTTTGAAGAGCCTCCACCGAGGCCCATAGGGAGACACAATATTGAGTCAAAGCCTCGGGATCATTCGTAGACCACGAAACTGCGCGCCGATCCGGGAGTCAATTGTTGAAAAGGTGCCAAAACTCCATCGGTCAATTGGGGCAAACTCCACATGGCACCGCCTTATATCCTCAGAACTGAAAAGTTGATGAATTACTCAGAAGACCGTTTTACAACATTTCGAAACCAAAACCAGGTGTAGGCTGACGATGATTCAACCGGATACCAGTCAGGGCTCTCTCCAGCATAGGATGGCTTCTCTGGAGTCTCGCAACCCCATCGAAGGCTCAACTCAGTCTGACCGGGCGGAAACTGAAATACGTAAGGACGGGTTCTCGTGTGTTCAATTATAGTTGCTCCAACGATCCTATTATGCCAAAACAGAGAGTACTTGACAATCGTTTAGCGCCTCGTTACTTGCGAGTCGGAATGCAAACCTCTCACCTGATTCATTGACGTAAGGGTCTTGTCAGTCACGGCCACATGTGAATCAGTGTCAACATGAAGAACCAGCCACGTATCACTACCAGGCGCGGCTCTGCATGAGAGACTGGCATGGAATCTTTCGGGAATGCTGCCAACGACGAAGGACTTTTTGGGATCGCAACCAGGATCTTTGAAACCCTCGGGCCCAGCAGCGATGGGTGCATTAAGTGAACTCTTGGTAGCGTCTGTCAGAGCGCTGCAGGACTGCGTGGGGGTTCCACGTGGGGACATACAGATTCGTATATGAGGACCGTTGGATCGCCGTATAGGTGGTTCCAACGGCAGGCTTTAGTTGTTTTCTCAATATACCGGTGCCCATCACTCTATCGTTCCAGTGATTCTTACAGCGTCGTACACGACTTTCTGGCCAAACTGAATACTCACATGATCCGTAGAAGCAGAGCGGATGTTGTATTTAAACGCATAAATAGTGTTATACTATAATGTCTTCTGGCCTAACTTAGCAGCATATTTTGGCTTAATCCAAAGTCCGCGAATATTGAAAATCTGGGCGCTTGTTTCGGCCCGGGCGCACTTAGCTTACTGCAATAACAAAGTACCATTAACCACTGCTGGGTGGCTAATCTCTTTGCGTTTCTACTCGCGGCATATATTGCCGAGACCTCCCCGCATAAGCAACTGAAGTTGAAGTATTCGAGAATTCATATTCGTGAATAAAGAACCGTGCCTATCGTACTACGCTTTAGGACCCAAATAGTTATTGGATTCCGTCGGGGACCATAAACTTTATGACGCCGACATCGTCTGCTTGAAAATTGAAAAACAAAACGGTAATTTGTGAATAAGGAGAGCATAAGGCTTTTGTAATCGATTAATACTTAGGCATCCAAAACATAGACTGGTGAACTTTTGGATAAATTTGCCTTGCAGACATGCCAATCCAAGCCATGCTTAAATGCGCTACTGTTAATCGGAGGCCTTTTTTTTTTCTTTCTTCCAGAATTTAGATCGCATTTAGATCGTCTGAGCCATCATCTCCTTCTCTACTTTCTTCTCCTGAATTCTGGCGTCCAAATCAGTTGTACGCTTCGTTTCCATATTTGGCACAAACCAAGATTTGCCCGAAAATAAGGCGTCCATTTCTTCGAGCGGAAGTAATCTTGTCTCTGGCATGAAAGCCCAGAAAAATATAGAATTGGTGAAATTGCACACCACGAATAGAAGGAAATATTTCCACCCAATGTTTTTGATTGCAGGTGCCGTGATCTGTGCAATCATGGTGTTGAAAGCAAAGGATGTCATAACACCGATTGAAACGCCCTTGGAACGGGTTTTGGTATCAAAGACCTCGGCTGGAATAATCCAGGACAGGGAACCGCAGGTAAAGGAAAAGCTGACTTGATAGCACCAATTGATGACAATGAAGAGCCATCCGAGTGAGTTCTGGGCCGAAGAAGATGCGTTGGGAAAGCTGGCAATGGCTGCAGTGACAATGATGAAGCAAACGCAGTTCATTCCATTTCCAATAATCAAAGGCCAACGTCTACCGATCTTGTCGATGAATAGTACGGTACAAAGTTGGGCAATCACTGAGAGCACGTTGCTGATGGCTTGATATCTTAGCGAGTCTTCCAATCCAATATTGATCGTAGCATATATTTGGGGCGTAAAATACTGAATAGCCGAGACTCCAGTCATCTGAACGGAGGCTTGAAGCGCTGTTACTAGGAACAACCGGTGGAGACTCGAAGGATTTTTGAATAGATCGACGTAGCCTTTCGCTTGAAGTTCGTGCTCCTGAGCAATGGCTGATTGGATCTGGAGATATTCGGCATGAACCCAAGGATCACTCTCATTCCCGTTGGCATGAAGTTTGGCAATCGTTCTTAGCCCCTCTCGCTCCTTGCCGTGGTCAATCAGCCATCGAGGGGATTCTGGGAATAGAAGTATCATAAGCCCAAGAATACCAGCAGGAATGATCTGGAGACCGAGTGGGATGCGCCACTGCTCGCTTGTAGAATAATGCAGATTGGTGCCATAGACAGTCCATGCTGGAAGAAGTCAGTCCTGCACCATTGATGGCATACTGATACAACTCACTCGCAAGAACTGCCCCGATACCAAGCATCAGTTGCTGCAATCCAGTAACGCGACCACGAATGGAAGGATGGGCAATTTCTGCTTGATAGATTGGCACAATCATAACCAGGACACCAACGCCAAGGCCACCAATAGCTCGACCCGCATAGAAAAAGGCCAGGGTTTGTCCCACGACCTGCAAAGCACCACCAAGACAGAAGATGATGGCCCCTATGATGATAGCGACTCTTCGGCCCAGCCAATCGCCGATTGGACCAGCAGCGGCTGCACCGAAGAATCCACCCCCGGTGAAGAGGGCCACGATTGCACCACTGCCATGAAGTTAGTTTTGAACTGCACAGAAACAGATCCCGCCTCAAACATACGTCTCTTTTGCCTCCGGATGAAATTGTGCTATGAAGGAAGATGAAGCTACACTGCCTCCGATGACACCGAGATCGTAACTGCTCAATACTTTAGTTAATGCTTCTTCATTCCTGGTCCGATCTAGCACACCCGTAGTTGAAAGATCCAAGGGCGGCAAAAACGCCGACCAGAAACTGTTCAATTGTTAGCAGAGAGCTAATTCTAGGTAAGGACAAAAGTTCTTCTCATACTTGATAGGTCTTGGGGCGAATCATTATAATTCCTGTGATAAATATTGTTTTCGAGTACTCAGGATGCAGCTCTTGGATGAGCCAGGGAAGAGAGACGAGATAGACGTATGGATTATGGACTTTAAATGCACCAAATAATCACTTTCTATTTACAAATTCCCGAAACTTTTGCCGTATTCATTTTGTACTGCCGAAGAAAAGACGTGCGGCTAGTGGTGCGCTTATTACATTCATTAAATGGAGCCCACGAACTTGAGGAATGCGGGGATGGTTACCCTACATAGCGCGCTGAAAACGATAATTTAATGCCTAGGTACCAATGCTCGTCCTCACCTCTCCCGTCTTAAGCAATATACATTTATTTTCCTCGTCCTCATTTCTCCCGTCTTAAGCGATATACGTTCATAATGCTCGTCCTCGCTTCTTCCGATTGGGCGCGATGACATCAATAATGTTTGTCTTCATTTTTTCCGTTTTGACGTGGCATAGTTTTCTCGGTGCTATTTGCAACGAAAAATTAGTGGTGTTGTCCTCTTGTTCTTGGAAATGCTGCAAGCATAAATTTGGCTGTTTGCAGACATCAATGATCGCTTTTCGGATGAGGAACAATCTCAGTCTTGACCGTTATAATAATGACGAAACTGTGGTACTTATGGCTCACTGTTGCGCAGCACTTTGTGGCTGCACAACGACAGACTCTGACAGTCGCAGCAAGTGGCGGCAATAAATCTAGTGCCCTTTTGTACGGCACCTTATACGAGGTTAGCTCCTAGATGATACCTAGTATCACTTGCGTGATTAACAAACGTGGATAGGATATATATCATTCTGGAGATGGCGGACTATACGCCGAACTTCTTCGCAACCGCGCTTTCCAAGGCTCTTCACAGAATGGGCAGGCAAGCACAACACGGACGACTGATTTCTGGCATCCCATTGGGAATGTTCAACTATCCGTGGAGGATTCAACTCGGGCTCTATCTGAAGATTTGACGTACGACTTGCGAATGAATGTTCCCGCGGGTACAACTGGCCAGATCGGTTTCTATAACGAAGGCTTCTGGGGATTTCATGTCGATGCTGCTAAGCGTTATGCTGTCAGTTTCAACATTAAAGGAGCTTACGACGGGACAGTGATAGCTGGATTCAAGAACAACATCACCGGTGCCCAGCTTTCTTCTACTGCTATATCCGTGTCATCCGTTGATGATACATGGACCTACATTCCACCTCATACCTTTCAACCTACCTCAACTCCGGGCAACGCGAATAATACGTTCACCTTTTTGTTTGATGGTAGTCAACTTGCCGGCAAAAGTATCCAGGTGAACCTCCTCAGTCTATTCAAACAGACTTATCGAAACCGAGCGAATGGTGTAAGAGAAGACTTAGCTGGATCGTTCGATGGTCTGAAGAGCTCATGGGTTCGCCTTCCTGGAGGGAACAACATGCAAGGTTTAAGCATTGGAAACGAATGGCATTGGGATCGCACATTTGGTGACCTCAAGAATCGTCAAGGCCACGTCGGAACATGGGGTGATATCCAGACCGATGGGTTTGGCATCCTGGAAATGATGCAGTGGGCAACAGATGCGAACCAAACGATTGTCCTAGGGCTGTTTGCTGGACTTCACATTGGCGGCGATATAGTGTCCGAAGCCGATATTGACGGGTATGTTGACTCGACCATGAACTATCTTGAATTTCTAAAGGTTAGTATTTCCACACGTGTCAGTGCATGTAAAGATACTAACGGCACAACCAGGGAGATTCGTCTACTACCTGGGGTGCAAAAAGGGTAAACCTTGGTTATCCCACCCCATTCAAAGTGGACCATATTGAAATAGGCAACGAAGACTACTTGAATGGAGGTACATCATCGTACTATTCATACCGATTCGCAGCGTTCTGGAACCGTATCAGAGCCACCTACCCATCGATCGCACTTATTTCATCCATTTTCCCGCCTCCTGTGCCGGGATCCGACACTTGGGTCGATCTGCATTTCTACTACAACCAAAACACATTCGTCAGCCTGTTTGACCGGTTTGACAATGCCAACCGGAGTTTGCCGATCATTGTTGGCGAGTATGCTTGCATCCATGAATTCGATAATGGCTCTCCAGAGATTGGAGCACAAACAATGGGAACGGCTTTGGCAGAGGGCATAATGTTACTCGGAGCGGAGCGCAATTCTGATATCGTGATGGGAACAGCATATGGTGCGCTTATCAAGGAATACGACGAAGCTCCTAATACCGTGGCCGTCATCAAGCACTCTGCTGACCAGATTCTGCAATCCACGAGCTATTACGTACAGCAGATATTCTCTCAGTATAAAGGTGAAGAAACCGTGTCAGTGACGACCCAGTTCGGAGAAGGCATAGATCCTCTCTATTGGTCTGCTACACGGACCGGCAGCACTCGGTACTTGAAGCTGATTAATTACTACGGTCCAAGTAGCGTTGTTGATGTTGTGTTGCAGGGGACACACTCAAGCACCGCACAGGTTGTCACTCTCACAGCGCCCGATTGTTCTTCAACGAACAAATTAAGTCAATTAGGGGGCGAATCAACCAGCATTACTGAATCAACTATTGTGGAGAGCGATGGCAAATTTACCGTCATTTTTGGAAATCCCTGCGAAATAAAAGTTCTTATTGCTTGAGTATCAAAGCAACCAAAGCGATGTAAAGGACAGTACGCTGAATTACTAGGCTGGTGGCGGAGAAATGAAATGGAGCAAGTTCTTTGGGCAAGAATATATAGATGAAAGTAAATTCAGCATTACTGTACTCACTTTCATCCACGCTATCTTTCTTTAATATCTCTACAAAGCATCCCTTGGTATTTAGGAGAGTCTCGTAGCGAGAGTATAAGTACACTATTTCTTTTACCGTCTTTGGTCGGTTAGTGTCACAGACTCGGCAGATTCTGACCGCTTGCGTCGCAGTAAGGATCGTTTCCGTGCCAGAGTATGCGCCGTGTCGGCCATAAAGCTCTTCAATTCAGAAATTTATCGGCCTATCAGCCACTTAGACTTGCTTATCGTCGATAAGTGATTACTTTCCGTGCGATCGCTTTGAGGGATCTCATGAGTAGGGAACGCGATGAGACAGATGAAGAATGAGGCCAAGATATAATTGATTCATGCTAGCTAGAGCGAAAGCACTGATAAATAATCCCAATCCTGGCTGTCAAGACTCACTGGATGGCATTGTCACACTCTCTTTATGTCACGCTTCGGGACAACCTTGAATTGGGCACAGCTACTTCCCTATGCGCAATCGCTAGCTTCGCTGCCGAGGGCTAGCGGGTCACGACAACGCCAGCTCGGTCTCCGAGCATGAATGAATGAGCTTCCAATCCACCAGCATGGCTGCCACCCTTCCCCGCCATTGCATACGTAAACTCCAATTGATCAGGACGCGTGTCACTTCAAGTGAAATTTTCTGCGTCTATGCTCTTAGATTACACACAGTTAACATGGTACTGCGTCGTTTGCTTGGGGTATGCTCTCCGCCAGGAAACTGCATGGGCAAGACACAACCCGCTTCTCCCTCAACGGGAGCGGTCCGGTGATTTTTCCAACACCGCGACCATGTATGGCTGCACAGATCACCGCCTCTGATAGATGAATTGCTCATATTGATGCATTATAAAAAGTATTGACAAGAGTCAGATAGTGGACTGGACGCAAGTTGCCATATTCCCTTTCTTCCTACTCCTTTCACGATTTCTCTCGAGCCATCTATCCGATTTCTCATGCGATATTTCTCGCCGTTCATGGCCCTCTGGGCCGACCAAATGGTTTGGGGCGGACTTGAACGACAATTCATGATACATCTCCTCGAGGATCATAACCGTTGGATCCCTGCAAATTTCACCAATTTTCTGTTTGCATTACTGTACCAGGCACTAATAGCTGGTTGTATGCGTGCCTGAAAGGGTACGAGAATTTTCGATAGCTAGACGGGTGGTCTATGGGACCCTGGAGCGGTCCTGCTCATAGACAGCAACCGTAGTAGCTGAGCATAACGTGTTCCCAAGAATATCAGCAGAAAACTTAAGCAAGACTGCTACAAATATAATATTCAGTTCATATAGTACTGTATATATACAAATCTGTCAAGGCTTTGCTTCATGTAAAAGCCTGATTATAAGCGCGGTTGGCACAAGGCCCGGTTTCGTGCAGTCGCAGCCTTAGCATCGGCCAAAATTTCTAAGATAATAAAATGCTATATGAATTGTGGCAAATGGACTGGCTTAACACCTTTTCTGTTTTAATTTTCTGTATCTACTGATTCAAGCTTCCAGATCAAAAGCTCACCGCGTTCCACGCCAGCGGAAACCTAGATCAAGAAAGGATTGAAACCCCGTTATCGCCCCTTTTGATTTCATTCTCCTCCCTCAGTAAACAGGTGTACTAAATGCTGGGAAATCGTAAGTCCAGCTGTCATAAGATGTGGTGTCGTTCACGCAGTCAAAATTGCTGCTGTTTCCTTGCCACAGAGGCCGAGTAGGCCATTGACACAAAAGCTGCGTCTCTCCCTCAAAGTCGCCAGAGGACACTGTAGCATTAAGTTTTGTAGGTGTAATGCCGTTTTCAACCCAATCAATAATGACTCCCATGTTACTAACTGGCCAGGGCCCAGGCTGGAGGTCGTTGGTTCCGCAGTGAGCAGCGCCAGGGATAAGGTAAAACTGATACCAATCCTGGAGGGTTTCAAGGCTTTCTTCATCGCTCGCATCAGGATACATGACGGAACGCACCGACTGCCAGTAGTGAACAGACGACGCTGCGGGTACACTGGGGTCAGACTCTCCGTGATAGTGGAGCAGCTTGCCGCCACTAGACTGGAAGTTGCTCAAATCCGGCTCAGTAGTCTGTAAGCTGTCGTAGTATTTAACAAAGGCCACCTTCATCCATTCAACCACGGTATCGTAGGTAACGTTATCGAGGGAATAAATGTTATCAGCATCCAAGAGCTCGATCCACCGGGAAACGAATTCACCTCCAGTTTGGACGATATCGAGCTCCCAAGCACCAGTGTCAGAGTCATAGGTGGCAGCGGCATCTTCAAGCTCAGACCCAATCTGCCAAGACAGATAGGCACGCTGACCCTTGCTGTTGAAAACACCATCGTAGATGGACTGGGCGAGCTGTACACCTTCGGCGCTGATGGTGCCATTTTGTGCCGGGGTGGTCACAGCTTCGCTGCCGGCAGCCTGTCGCTTATTGAAGCCGTACCCGAGCGAGGTACTATTCTCCGCGGCGCAATAGTAGGGCTCGCCGATTAAATCGGTAAGATTGAAGTTCAGCTTGCAAAGGTCGGTTCTGGAAATGACACCATCGGTTCTGCCATCGAGAGGGTCGCAAGCGGCGATAGTAGCATTCACGATTTTGTCGAGTTCGCAGGACGGGGGGTAATAGTCCATGGTATGCTCAACGACGGCCGACCACATATGGAGAACCTGCTGCTGTGCGGCGCGGAAGGCGGGAGCACCAGCAACAACACCATCGTACAGCTCGCCCCATCGCTGAACCTGACTCATGCCTTGTCGACCACCGTCAGAGCATCCTTCGAAGTAAGTGTACAACTTGGCGTCGGCCGAGGCGCCGTAAAACCCCGGGGTAACAGCTTGGCCGACTTGGGTCATCTCACCAAGGGCCTGGTACGAGAACATATAGGTGGCGTCCCAGTTGATCGAACCATTTCCGTAGAGGAATACAGTATCATAAGCACTGTTGGCGTTATCGTAACCTCCGTCGCTTACACCGCCGACGGCACCGTACTCCAAGCCACCGGTGGGATCAGTAGAGAGAGACCAGGCCTCCCCACCAGGCACGTAGAAACGACCCAGAAAGTCGGAAGGGCTGGGAAAGGCATAAGTCACCACGACTTTGTCGCCTTTGCCTGTGTGAGTGTAAGCGACGGTGACATTGCAGTAGGTGTAAATGGCAGAGCTCGAAGAAGCACTGCCAGGACCGCTGGATCCCGTAGAGTTGGTCACAGCCGCCGTCACAGAGGTAGGAATCAAGTCGATTCCCAAAAAGGTCCCATTAGCAGGCAGAGCGGCTTGGACATTGGTTACAGTGCACACGTCGGCCAGGGGATAAGGCTGTCGTTGTTGTATTGGCCATGGTGGCAGTAGCGCAAGATGAGACCATGTCGCACACGGAAAGGAAAATGCTAAGGAACGCCCCTTAGGTAGAGAATTTTGAAATGAGAGAAATGCTGGTGAGTATCTTAGGGAAAATAGGCACTGAGTGTACCAATTATCGCATACAAATACTCGCCCGGTCATCGCAGCTCGTCCCCGTGGTTGCGCATCTCGTTGATTCGTCTTGTAAGGACTCCCATAGTACTTTCGCGGTGGGCCACAGCGGATGTCGACTACCTAGCACATTAGCAGATCTGCTAGGCTGCACACGCAAGAGACGCGTAGCTTGGTGGCCCCGTGTAATGAGCTAATGCCGGCACCTGAAAAGCTTAGCCAACTCTACAGAATCGATGCGGACGAGACCCAGGTATTCTGGCTGTTGGAAGAAAACGACGGATTCTGGGGGTAAACCTAGCTGCTATGTCCTAATAGTGGCCTGTTGTCGGAGCTCCGTTCGGAGTTAAGCGTAGAATTATAATGCCATGGTACCAAGGTAGACGTGCTTTTTGCTTTATTCATCGAAGGGCTTGTTCCGTAGTACGTGCAGGGGCCATACTGCCTTCAACCGCACTCCATCAGTCAATCTGGCGAAGTGGGAGAGCATTACCGTTTGGAAAGGTATTCCATTCGCAGCCTCAACTGGGGGACAGAACAGATTTAAACCACCGCAGCCTGGGGCTGCCCGGGACTCCACGCTCGATGCCGACGCTTTTGGTCCAATTTGCCCTTCTGCCAAGCCCGACACTACCGGCTTCACAGTGGACGAGGATTGTCTAAATCTCATCCTCTGGAGTGCAGCAAGTTCCACGAGGGCCAGGCTTCCTGTTGTGATGTAGAGCTACCCGGCCGAATCCACCGCAGCCGATCAGCTCTTCTATGGTGCCGGCATGGCTGATAAGGGAGTCGTGTTTGTCAACTACAATTATTGATGTGGGGGCGCTGGAGATGCCCACTAAAAGTGGCTGTGGAGGCTTAGCTTAGAGTGGCTTTATAGTCCCGAAGGGACTTATAAGCCTTTGTTTTTCGTTGCGTTTAGCATACAGGATCACCATCCATCGTTTTCTCAATTAAGACAGTTCCCACATACTTTAAGATTTTATATGCTATTTGATCAAAAACCACATAAAGGCCACAGCCTTACGGCTGTCCGTCTTAGGTGGGGGTTGGTTTTGTTTGGTTTTTGTTCCCCATCTCATTATCGTACTAGGTCTTTTGCTAGCTAACTCATCGAGAATTGTCGAATGAGATGGCAACCGTCTATGGCACCAACACTTCCGGGAAGTGGGGTATGTTGGACCAGTTCGCTGCGTTGATTTGGGTCCGCGAGAATATGGCTGCCTTTGGCGGAGATCCAAACCATATCACCGTAATGGGCCAGTCGGATGGTTCTGCTGCGACCTACCACATCCTCAGTGGCGAGCTTACTCGGGGCTTCATCGTGGGAGCAATCATTTAATATAGAGCGGTGTGCGTGATCCTTACGACCCGCTCTGCTCCAGTCTTGCCGAAGGATACCGTAACCTCTCCACTGCTCTCGAGACCGGTATTGATTACGTTTCCAGCCTGAACGCCACAGCCATAGCCGATGTGCAAGAGCTGCCAATGTCGGATCTCATCACAAAATTCAGGGATAGCACTTTCAGCTTTGGGGCAGTGCTGGACGGGTACGCCATGCCCGCCAAGTAATATGACATCCTTTATGAACGGTTTGGCCCAGGACGTGCCGATTCCGACGGGCAATACTAAGGACGAGAGTGGTGCTGAATACGGCCTCAACATCACGCTAGAAACCTATTTGGAAGATTTAAATGCAACATTCTCAGTAGAATGGGTCGACGCCTTCTTTAATCTATATGGCGCTAATGATTTTCTCACCGCGAGTGCCGCTGAGAACAGTCAATTTACCGACCGCAGCAAGGTGGGAACTTAGTTTTGGAGCTAATTATGGTCAACAGCTTACGAGAGCCGAGCCAATTATAGTCGACAGTGTACGAGAGCCCGAGCCAATTATGGTCGGCAATTTACGAGAGCCCAACATACAACTACTTCTGGGACCACGCCCCACCTGGACCAAGGTGCTTACCATGAAGCGAGATCAATTACGCGCTGAACAATTTATATGGAACTGACCTGCCTTGGACTGACAACGACTACTCTATTGCCACTACAATGAACGCGTACTAGGTCAACTTCATCAAAACCGGCAATCTAAATGGTCATGATTTAGCGATGAGGGAGAAGAAGGTACTGCGCAATCGGAAACTATTGAAATGGCTTCACTATCCAATCCAGATGGACTTCACTTCTACACCAGGGGCGACGGTAAATGGGCTCTGTATTTGACGTATCGTACGAAGGGAAAGAGGGGGAAATCTATTCCCTTCGTACGATGGCTATAGATAACGTTCCCGGATGCTGGCAGCCGACAGCCACAACGTGGCTGTGGTGGCTTGCCAGATGCTATTGCCGTACGAATCGCAACACTAGTATCCTAACGTTCCAACAGAAACGTTTTATTAAAAAGCGCTAAATAAACCTAATAGGAATTGTTACAAACTCTTCATTGCCAAAATTGGGAAATGTCACAAACACGAATACGCAACCTGCTTAGCACGCTACACGAGATTATAAAGTTTATACCCAAATAGGAAATTGTGATAGATCCGGATCTGCCGGTAGATATATGCCAAGTCTGCGACGCACAGTTCACTGTTTGCAAAGGGTCATGTATACAAGAGTCCGGCTTCGTCCCTGCCCTTTCAACAGGAGGTGCACCACGAATGAACTATTCACAATACTTGAATCATTTACATAGCCTTCAACCCATCATGCGCACTCTCTCGGTATTAGTCACTGCTGGGGCAGCTATGGCGGCGACGATCAGGATCGATGCTTTGAATCTGGCTTTCGTGCCCAATGTCACGACAGCAAGCGTGGGAGATGTCCTTGAATTTCACTTTCTACCCAATAATCACAGTGTTGCCATGGGCGACTTCGAGGATCCGTGCCAGCCTGCTAAGAGCGGAGGTTTTTTCTCTGGCTATTATGCTCTGAACTCAGGCGAAGCGGTGAGCAGCCTCCATCATAAGGATAGTGGCCAAGATCTATTCTAACATGATTTTATCAGGATAATGTATTCCGTGTCACCGTCAATGATACCGATCCGATCTGGCTCTATTGCACCAAACTTGGCCATTGCAAGAACGGCATGGTTGGTGTCGTTAATCCGACAACAGAGAGAACGCTGGAAGGTTACCTCGCGGGTGCTCGCGCTTTCAACGGTACTCTCACAGAGGCTGGTGCTGCATTCGGAGGCATTACAGTTCCGAACACAGACACGTCCAGCGCAAGCTCTACAGCCGCATCTATGACAGCGCCGATGAGCAGTTCAACAAGCACCAGCTCGGTAGGAACGGCAGAGTTCACGTGGAAAACATTCTTATTTTCAATGTTTTTGGCGCTAGCTATATCGTCTATCTAATCTTGACATGGTCAATTGTGAGAGAAATAGATTGTCTAGGAGGAAAATTAGGAAATGCTAAGTAGATTGTTTTGTGACTGAATTCTTTCTAGAAATCTTTGCAGGTACTTCATTAATAAAACATATTTGTCCAAGTCAAGTTGGGGATATTTCTAAAATCTGGATAACACTATACAGTACTCTCGGTGAGTGAGATTAGCTGCAATTATTCACGCTAAATTCAGGCGTAAATATGTTAATCGTGCCATCGAGAAATAAAATAGCAACTACATTAATTGTGATACGCTACTATTACACTTAGTTATGGACAAAGAATCCGACGTATTTTCATGTTGAATGCATTTAATTTCTACACTGAATGAATTGATATTGACTATGAAATTATGGCAAACACAGCTTTGAGATTCACGGCTTGAAGATCTGTTTCCCCCCTCTGACCGTTCCACAAGAATATCCATGAGTAGAGAGGGTGGAAAATGAAAATATCATCGCGTCTCAAATGCAACTAATTAATTCGGTGTCTCTCCTGTAGTTTGATGCAAAGACCATGGGGTCCAGAGTTAAGCAGACTGCTCTGCTCGCTTAACTGGATGTAGCCGAACCATCAAGGGTCCCTTTTCCCACACCAAGAAGCTTCTTTGGTCTATCCAAGGCTTCTTCTCAGGCAGCAGCTCAGCATCGTAATGCCAAAGTGTCTTAGCAAGGATAAGGCGCAACTCAAGCCACGCAAGACTGTCATCGAAAGTTTTTTGTTAGCTAAGTCATGTGGTTATCTATCGTTTTTACATTCTGTACTTACTTTTTGCCAATACAATTTCTCGCCCCGTAGGAGAACGGCTGATGAACGTCCCGTTGGTCAAAGGCGAATCTAGGGTCATCGGACTCTGTCCACCGTTCGGGAATAAAGGTCTTTGGGCTCGAAAAGTTGGTCGAATTGAGGTACGCAATGTAGTGATTCATCGTAGCTGTCGTACCAGCAGGCACGAAATCGCCACAGATGACAGCACCTCCAGCCGGAACCACACGAGACATACCACCGCCTCCCGGGAAATATAGACGTAGTGTCTCTTTCAGGACGGCGTTCAAGTACTGCATTCCAGCCAAAGGTTCGGGGGTAATTGCTTCACTCGTTGCAAAGGTTGTGCGAATTTCGTTTACAAGAACGTTGTAAACATGGGGATTCTTACAAACATAGTATATGACGCCAGACAGGGTTGTCGCGGTGGTTTCGGAGCCAGCCACCATGAACATGGATGCATTGGCGTGCATCTCCTTTAACGTAAGTCCTCGACCAGCTTCGTTATGTTTGAGCACGAAGCTCCATAGATCTGGCTTATTGTGCGATGAGTCCTCCAAGCGTTTGTTTACGAGGCTGGCTGCAAATTCAGCGTGCTGCTTAGCTTTGGCTTTCAGCGTTGAGGCGGTGAGCCACTGGAGTGGCAACCGTAAGAGAGGGACCTCGAGTATCGCAGCGTAAAACACAGCATATTTCAGGCCGGCGAGGATAATGCGAACCCAGGGCACATAGTCCGTCCGCTCCAACATGCCCAGTGACTCTCCAAAAGCAAGTTCAGCCATAATATCAAATGTAGTAAAGTTGAAAAAGTCGACAACGTCGACTTGGCCTTCTTGTCTATTCGTCTCGCCCATCTTTGCGATCATCTTGTCTGCATACTGGACAAGCAGTGGCTCTTGTGCGGCCAGGGCTGTATTGCTGAAGGAGTGGGTGAAAATTCTGCGCATGCGCGTATGGTCCTCAGTAGGGGCTGTCGCGAGGTTGTAGACGCCATCCTCTTGTTCACCAAGAGACGATGCAACCTTGGGCATCTCGCTCTTGACTGGGCGGCCAAAGATATCACGCCAGGCCGGTGCTCGGATGTACGAAAGCTCGTTGGGCGCAATACGTACTACGTCGCCATACCTCTCGTGTAACTTCAAGCCTATGGGCCCGATATTACCAGAAAGCCATGTTAATTGCTTTGGGATCTTCGACGCGCGCCACTATAAGATTAAAAGGAATGAGTGAGATACCCAGGATAATTGTTTCAAAAGCCGTGCGGCTCTCAATGACAAGCACGTACGACTCGAAGTCATGTATACTGAGACGGTGACGTTTCTGGGTGTTACTTACAAGCAGTGGTCCAGGATATTTCCGTAACGGATGGAAAAAGATATTGTATACACACTGTGCGATGAACTGAGAGAGATGTTAGGGCCCTGGCAACCAATTTTTGACATATCTAAAACCATGAATTTACATGCAAGGCAAATAAAGCCGGTATCGCAAGAAATGTAACGGTAATCGTGGCCGCCATCCTGTATTGTGCTGGATATGTTGAGAACCAGAAAAGACAAAGGAAAAGACAACCTTGGGTTTATTATTAGGGATTTGCAACATAGTACATCTTCATAATGACGAAGGGGATGAGGCTGTGCCTGAGCGAATACGGATACGGGCGAGGTTTCATTCTTTTGTTAGTTAATATACCCACTATGTAAGGTCTTTATCCATAATCGGACAATGAGATTAGCTTAAGTTTCGGGCTGGGCTAGTATACGTCCAGGAGTGGAGTTCCCAGCATATGGGATCCATTATCCACCGAGCTTTGGGTACGATGACCATGATTTGCTATTTAGAGATAACGATAATATCGGTATTAGGGTGTGATCGGCTCGTTTTTTTAAGGGGGGGTCTTAACTTTTTGGGATACAAAATCGTTGCATAAGAAATTGTGGGGAGGGGAAATGTACCGCGTATAACTTAGGTAAGCATCTTTTGGATGTTGTCGTGGGATAAGAGCCTTGGCACCCATAAGAGGGGAGCTTAAGCTTAGCAGCCCTCCATCGCCCTGGGCTTATCGACCTTGGGCTTATTTGTGCCATTTCTCGAAAATTGGAGACGTTATGCCTTTTATGGTGGGCGGTAAACGATTTTAGAGCCCATGTCAATTCGGTACATTGGAAATCTTGCATAACTTAAGAGGGCCGTCTTACGATTATCCGTGCGACATTTTGACTGCCAAATTAGGTATGGTTGTGTCCTGACAGCATTTTCTTTTATTTTTTAGCGTATAATATGGATTGGTATAAGGCCCTGGCAACACTTAAGACCCCCTCTTACAGCGAGCCGATCAGGGCCTTACCGAGCTTCTACCAAAGTGAGCCAGGCTTCATCCTATTGACAACATTATTTAGAGAAGCAATCGTAAACTAAGCACAAAGGGAAATAGTCGACGTGGAATAAACGAGCCACGTGAGACATCCGCGCTATCCGCCACCATTAGCCATTCCCCACCTCGATGCGATCTGAGTTTTCAGCAAATAAGCTCCTTAATTTTTGTCTTTATGGCACATGAGATTTTAACACTTAAAGCTGCTGTGATAAAAGCATTGAATCCGGACACTAGGATATATATAAATGAAGCTAATAGAGAAGACCCCGGGTTCCAGGCAGATTTTTACGGGTCGAATTATGGCCGATTCCTAGAAATCAAAAAACGTCGTGATCCGAACACTATTTTCTATTGCCTAATATGTGCGAGTAGCAATGAATAGGCGGTAGATGGCATAGGTCGTATGTGTTAGGTGCATGGAAAATATTAATGAGCCAGATTAGCTATACGGTTCTCATTTAAATATTAATAAGATTAAGTTTGCCATTGTAATTTAGAGCACTTACCAGCCTAATGCTTAGAATATTGATTATTACTGCTTAGTCTAATCCCTAAACTATCGGTCGATGCCGTTTAATCATAGCAGCCCTCGCCGCTCACTCATCGAGTTAACGGCGATTTTTCATTATAACGATATCACGAAATCATGACAGCACCTTATAACGGCGGTCATCGCCGCCAACAACCTGTTCGCTGCCGCAGACCAAGCCAACTTGACACAAGGTCTAATTATAAAGATTGACCGGATTTAAACACCGCAATAGGATGTATACCAACATCGGTATATTGCTCATCGGTCTGGCCCTTAAAGATGCTATGACCGCGCGCACCTCGGAGAATTTCACAATCGTGTGGAATTCTTGTATCAAATACGCAGGAAAGATCTTTATGTTACTGGAGACATTAGTTACGATTAAGGAATGTTCAATATAACAATTGCCCTTCTCAGGTGAGAGACCATACTTCAATGTTGGCACCATTAACAATAGCAATTGGTTTTACAGCATGGATTCACGACCCAGAGATCATGCTGGAATGAGAAGTCCATTGCAACGACTAGGATGAAGTGAATAGCCCAAATGCCATACCGCAAATAGGTACTACAGGGCAGGTCATGTTCTCCATCCACATGACCTCAAAGGAAAGCGCAGGCTACATTGTCAACGCGACACAGGCCTGCACGACGGTCGTACACTATCTAGAAACACCCAAAGCTACTCGACAGCGTTGGGTCCGAGCCATTTCCAAGATAAACCTGTTTTCTTGGATACATGCACAAGTTGCGTTCATACTGGGTGCCATCGCTGCCATTAAACGACACAGGCAACAGGTCCGGAGCCTTCCCATTCTCAACCCAGTCAATGAGTGCCTGCCACGTATACGTCGGCAGGCCACCGACCCCACCCGAACAGTGACCTACGCCAGGGGACTGGAAGAGGCGGTAGAAATCGTGCACGTCTGGACTGAGCGTCGTCACCTGATTATAATACCGCTCGCTTCCACCTGGTGGGATAATACTGTCGGCCTGCAAGATGTGATTAGCTGTAAGATAAAAGACAACATAAAGGATACATGAGACACACCAAACCATGATACGTTAACATCTTTCCGCCGGCCTTCTGAAACGCCGTCAAATCAGGATCGTTTGCGCTGTACAGCGAATCATACATCTGCTTGCCGAGGTGGAAGAGGTTATCGAACTCCTCATGCGTGATATTGCCCAAATCGAAATCCGGATTCGCTACGATCCAATCAGTGATCCAGCCAGTGACGAGTATGCTTGCCGCAGAGGTACACGTCCCATTGGAAGTGCACGACGTCGTGTCGAGCGCGTATCCGGAGTTGGTTATGTCGCCACTAAGGTCCGCGTCGTAATTAACGCCGTACCACAGGAAGCTGCCATTGCTCGACCTCGCCCCCTGCCACGTCGCGTTCGCCGTGAGGGCGGCAGTCTCGCTGATCTGGCGTGTGGCGTTGCCGAAGGTTGCGCACTGAATTTCCTGGCCCACAACGCTCATCGGGTCAAAGGGGCAGTCGTACAGTGTTGAGACGATGCCGTCTGTGACACCATCGAGCGGGTCGCAGAAAGCCACCGCTGCGGTGCGCAGAGCATCAAACTCACAGGGCGGTGGAAACTCGCCGCGGAGCTGCATAATGAGCGTCGGATAGAAAATATTCATGATAAACTCGTCCCAATTGTTGGCAGGTGCCGAGGCCGCGATACCGTCGTATGCGTCCGGGTACCGCTGCGCGAGCATGAGACCCTGTCGCCCGCCCTGAGAGCAGCCGCTAAAGTACGAATAAACGGGCGGCTTGCCATAGAAGCTGGCGATAACGGCCTTGCCGATGATGGCTTGCTCGTTGAGCGAGACGGAGCCGAACTCATTGAGCGCCTCGAGGTTAGGGTTTCCAGGGCTCAGCAGCGACCAGGGGTCCCAGGAGAAGCTGCCGTATAGCCCCGCGTCCGTCGTGGTCGCTGCGTAGCCTTGTGAGATGGCACCGTCCATGTCCCAGTAGGAGAGGTAGAAGCGGCCCGCGACCAGCCCGCCACCTCCGGAAGCCTGGAGGCGCTCGTTCCATCCTTCAAGGGGCAGCCAGGTCTCGACAGTCACGCTGTCGCCAACACCTTCATGTGTGTAGGTCACGGTGACGTTGCAGAAGTTGACATTGCGCGCGACTAAGTCCGGATGGTTATAGTTGTATATAGCCGGGGCAGATGCGGTGTAATTGAGCACGGGCACAGCGCTGATGTTGGTGAAGGTGGCGCCGAGGATGGTTGGGTAGGGGAATGACTGTGCAACGCACATGGACAGGAGGGTGGAATTCATGGTCGAAGAGGCTGCTGGTAAAGACCTAGAGCGCAACGCAGCGCGATATGACCGAGCAGTTGTCCGTGGCTATTTAGCGGTCTATATAGACGCATTCGAATCTCCGCTAATCTTTGATATTTTAAGCTAAGGTAAATATATACTTAAGACTATCTTTTAATTTAAGCGGTAATAATCGTTTGCATAATAAAAGACTTATATACGTTGCTAAGCATTTACACACTAATAAATAAGGGGGTCTCGAGGATTTCGGAAGACCGTTATTTAATTTTAATGCCCCGGACGAATAGCAAAGTTCTAATACGCGTATCCATCCGTATAGCATCGTATCTTCTCGTATTTAGTTAATGACACGCTACTAGGATCCCTCAAGGCTCACCGTTATAGGCACGCTCCCCGGACCTAATGAATAAATATTAATACCGTGACTCAAATTATTCTTTGATATTACATAATAACATTAATTCTTAACAAAGCATTCGTATGGGCATAATAGAGTCCTAAATCCACAAAAAACCCGCTATGTTCCCTGCCATCGCCACCGATATGGCTGTCTTATAATTACCTCCTAGCTATCCGGATTCAAATTATAATACTCCTAACTAGCTACATTTTGCTTCCATGCTGTAAAGGTTGGTTAGGTTTTATTATATAAACGACTTTGTCTTTTATGTCGCATTATAAAAAGAGTTGCAGCTCAGCCTATTTGCAGCTAATGACCATGGATTCCTGTCTGCATCTGTTTAATGACAAGGCACTTTGCTTAGCGACTCGGCAACTTCGCATAATTCGGGTGCGCAAAAAAGAAGAGAGAGAGAGAGAGAGAAGCTACATCCTTACCAGATTTTTTTACACATGCCAATGGATATTACAACTAGTGTGGTATCGCTTTATGCATGCTTTACGAAGCTATGACGCATATCCTCAACGTGATTGTCATGATGTGCATCGTGATTTGCCCTGAGAACGAGGAAATTGTCACCTTCCGCGATGTTCGATTATTG